CCTTAAAGGTTTATTGATCTCAAATTATAATATCTCCTAAATGATGTTGCAATACTCTTAATTTTTTTTATCTGATTAGATAAAATATTCAATAAATTATCATTCAGACTACAACTATTTAAAGTTATATGCTTAACTTATTATCTATCTTTATTAAAAATCACTTCATCTAAAAACCATTAAAATTATTGTTCTTCTAAATTAATTTTCTCTAATACAAAAGTTTCAATTGAAACAAGATTGAATTTTTGATAATTAGGGTTTTTTTTAAATATTTCTTATGTATCCTAAATAGATTTATTTAACCCATCGCATGATTTAAATGTCAATTCATTTAAAGTGCTGAGAATTAAGAAAGGAGTTAAAATATCCTTATCTGTTTTACATTCGATAAGAGTTAATTTTTTCAAATCAAATATTCCTTTCAGAATTAAGTCCTATTGTTTTTCATCTTATTAATTGTCATATTATAACAATTGTTCTGAAGTATCCTAAATCTGCTCTAAATTATCTTTTAATTATTAATCAATTAAAGACTTTGTTGCTTCATTCAAAGCTTTTAAGAAATTCTCATCTATATTAATCTTATGGAAAACTAAATCTTAAATTTTAATTTGAGTATTAAATATTATTTGTTGTAAAATAATATTCCATGGTTTTTAAGTAGTAATTGTAATTTCGCTTAGATATAAATATTTTAAACTTTCAAAAATATTATGATTTTTCTTCTTCTAATTATCAGTTGGGTTTATTTATTTGTCATTATTTATAGGTTTATCTTAAGAATTTTCATTAAGATTATCATTTTAATTGTTCTATTATTGATTTTAGTTTAAAATTGATTATTCTTATAAAATCTATGTAATTTATTCAGCAAGCATTTCAAATTTAAAAGTTCCTAAACTTAATTTCTCTATTCTTTAAAACTTTGAAAAAATGACATATTTAGTAAAATTAATTTAAGCCGAATCTTCATTTATTGACTCTAAATGTAATTCTTTTATTGAAAGTTAATATTATTCTTGATCTTTGCTATCGACAATTTATTAAAAAGTTTATTTATTCTCATCCTTTTATTCAAATTGCAACTTTTATAAAACTAACTTTTTCAATCTAATTTAATCATGATACACAAATATTTCTAAGAATTAAAATATTTCAAAAGTCATATCGGACAAATCAATAAATTAAAGTGAAGTTAAACTATGAATAAAACTAGAAGGTTATTTTTAGAGATAAGCTATTGTAGCATCTTTATAAGCTGAAAAGCTATCAGACATACCCTCATTTTCAATAACTAATTCTTCCAATTTGAAATGATCAGTAAGAATTAAGCATTTAAATAATTCTAAACGAAAGTCACAAGTTGTTTCTTAAAATTTTAATTTTTTTAAAGTGTATTAAACATTTTTCATTGATTCATCTCCACTTTCTATTTTCTTATATATTTCCTCACAAGTTTACAAAATTCCTTCTTCTCTTCCAGTTTATCTAAAACATTTCACCAATTCAAAATTTTATATTTCTAAAATGTCCCCTTTTTTCGTAAAAAAGAATTCATAAAAAAACTTTTTAATATACTATGGTTCCATTCTATATGTTTAATTTGGCATAATCATAGTTTTTATAGGTAATTTGTAATCTTTGAGCAATGGATTTTTTGATTACTCAATTTAAATCCTTTCCTTAAATTTTATCAATGTGTTTGACCAAGCCTCTAATCTACCTATATCGCAATTTTAGATATCTATAAAAATAAATTAATAATAAGTAATACATAATAATTTAATATTGGTATGCTCAGTAAATACCACACTTTCAAGAAACTTTTCTACTAGATCATGTCTATTATAGTTTTCAACTGAGGATAAATTTAGTTTCTTAAAGTTATGTTTAATTAATTTGCCATCTAAGAATAAAAAATGTACTTACTTTTAATACTTAATTATTTTAAATAATCAGTTCTAATTTTAACAGCTTCAGCTAAAAAACTCAATTTATATAATGTGCTTAATTGTTAAATTAAGACACTATCGAAAATGATCTCTTAACAATGCAAAAATATTTCATTTGCCAAAATTCCAAATGTCTTCTCTAATATTGAACTATTTTTGGATATGTCAAATAAATTGACTCTTAATTTATCATATCTATCACCAACTAAAGAGGTTACTATAGTTGAGTAATCTAATAATTTTTAGGATTAAATTTTTAATTCAAGTAAACCTTTTGCAGTAGATAAGTGTTGGCAAGTCTATTAGAAACTATTTAGAGTTCCAAGATAATTATCTGAGATATTTAACCCACAAATTTATTCCAAATTGTCTAAATCATATGTCAATTAAATTAAATGTTCGAAACCTTAATAATTCTTTTCGGTAAAGCAATTTTATAAATCAAAATAATAAAAGCATGTTTAATCAATCTTATCTCGCGCTTATTGTATGATATTATTCTTTTCTTAATTTGTCCACATTTTTTCTAGTTTTATAATTGCAATAGATTTTGAATCTTTATTCATCAACAATTCATATTCATAATATTCATTCTTATCATTTCTTTCTTTTAAATATACTTTAAGTTATTTTAGTAATTATCCTTTATAAATTCCTGGATTACTGATTATATAGAGCTAAATAAATTATATAGAAATACTCTCTTAAGATCAATATCTCTTTCAAAGAAGTAATAAATGAATTCTTCGAAATCTTCATCATCAATTTCATTTTGCTAAAACTCAAGAGTCAACTTTTTTGGTTAGAGCCAAGCAAGCCATTATCTTAATATAATCAAATGCTCTTTATCCATCTATGTGTCTACTATTGTTAACTCTCTTAAAGGATATAAAACTCTTAGTTTTGTTTCTATCATTATCAGATGTTCAACTTTAAAAGTACCTTTAAATCCTTTGAACCCTAATTTCCGATCCCATCCATTTTTCTTTAGCATCAACTAAAATTATGATTGCAATTATAGATACAAAAAAATCATCTAATTAAGCTTAAATTGTTTTTGAAGGTTCAAATACAAATTTTCCCTTTATTTTTCTAAAGTTTAACCTCTTGTCTTTCTAAACATGGATTGATGTTCTTTTCTTCAAGCCTTAAACTCTAAATGCATTTTGTGCACCTTGGTTAATTATATTGAGCATAAATTAATAATCAATTAGAAAGATAAGTAAAAATAAACTAATATAGTGTAACTGTCACGTAATATAATTTATTCTGATTTCAACCGACAAATCAATTTATATTAAAAAGTTTTAAAAGATTTTATTTATGTTTTGACAGAATGGTTGTAAAACAATTCATTAACTCTATTTATTGTTGAAATATCAAATAAATCACCTATTAGTATATCCTGAGAACAAGAGTTAGTTCAATTATTCTTAAACTAATTATATACAGATCCAATTAGATTAAAGTATTTTATTGACATATTTCCATAAATTAATTAAAGTGGAATATTATCATGCATCTACAATATTGTATTTAAATTATATTTATTCAAATAATTTATCAATTTTAGTAAACTAATGAGAATCTATCATATTTTAAATTAAAGCATGATGATGAAATATTAAACAATATTGCTTTTATTTTTAAAGAAAAATGTCTGATTATTCTGAATAATACTTTTTAATTCTTTAAATTATTTTTTAAAATATCAACAATATATATCTTTATGTTCTATGTTTTTAGATAGATAAGAATCATACTAAGAGAGTTTAATATTTTATTTATTTTAAATTAATCATTTATTTAATTGTAATTAAAATATAAAATTCCTTACATGATCAAATTATTGATCTGAAAATAGAATTATCAATCAAATGAAGAAATTCATTTGATTGATAATTTTATTTTAACAATTCTAATATTAAGATAGCTTTGAAGTATTATTTCAATTAATCTTCAAATCTAAAATATTATTACTTTATTAAATACAATTTATGATTAAAAATAAACAATTTTTAATCATAATACCTCATTTTATATATTTTGATAAATTAATTTATGTTAAATTATCATCTTAAGATATAACAGTAATTACTACTAGTTATAATAAGTTTCATTTTAGTGTATGTAAATATTAAAATTATTGCTTAAATTATTAAATAAAAAAGCGAATATATAATTATATTAATAAATTGTGTTTTATTTTTGATTAATCTAATTAGCAACCAGAAATAAATTTAATTATTATTTTTGTTTGCTTTCCAAGAATAAAATTGAGATTTTATAAATAGTTTTTTTTGATAAAATACTATATGGAATTAGAATCCATTTCTTTTTATGTTATGAATCAAAATGCAAATTACTAAAATCAATCTAATTTTAATTTCCATATTTTTTTATGATTTGATAATTGAATTATATTTTCATTTCATTTTAAATATTTTCAAAAGCTAACTTAATTTTTCAACCTAATTCTGCTGATCTCTAAATTATTTGTTATAAATTATTAAAATTATATATATACTTAAAAATTTAGTTAAATGTTAATCATATTTATACAATTTTTACTTTAATCATAGTAATGATTTATACTTTAATCTCATTTTTTATACTACTCAATATACTTGAAGAGTATTTTTCAAGTTTTTATATTTAAAATAATTATTTTATTTTAAAAATCAAATTGTAAATTTATACCAAAACTTATCTTAAAAATTGGTAAAATAAAATTTTATCCAAAGGGACATTTGATAATTTTTTTTAACATATTCCTAACTATCATATAATATCTACTATCATTAATTAAATTCAACTTTTTTTAAGTGATTAAGCATACTCTATCCTTTTTTATTTAACTTCTGTGTATAATAGATAGAATGTAAAGAAATGATAAAATAATAAAAATAATCTATATATATGAAGGGAAAGTAAATAAATTAATATATCAGTAATTTATATTTATGATATATTAAAATAAATTTAAGGATTAGTTTATTTTTTATTTATTTAGAATATTGAATATAGTATTTTATTATTAAACTCTCAATTAAATAATATCAAACATTTATGAGTTGGTTACCAGTCATTATTTATACTTCCTTCTGCATTTATCAAACCTAATTTCTTAAACAAATTAAAATTAATTTAATCAATCTATTTAAGATTATTGTTTATTAAATGATAAAGAGAAACTAATTATTTTGTATTTAAGACCAGTGTATAATTCTATTTATATGTAACTTCGGCATATCCATACGCAGATAATTAATATATTTTTTTTTGTTCTTTAGGTAAATATTGTAATAATTAATTTGGAATATTTGAGATTATTTCAGCAGTCTAAGAAATAAATTATGGATAAGGTAAATATAAAGGTCTAATTGAATTTTAAGCTATTTTTAAATATTTCTCCAATTCTTTTAATTTATATTTATCCACTAATTTCTGATGATATTAAGACATCTTATTAATTTTAGCACTTTACAGAGATAAATTAAAATTAGATCTATAAGGGGAAACTAATTTAAACAATTTTTCCATCATTAGATTAACAAAATGATCAATTGATTAAATCATACATTTTGAGAAATAACCTATATTTTCATCTTGAGTTTCAAGTAAATTTTATAAGCAATCATGCTTTAATAAATATTCTTCTATTGTTTCATTTAATACAATTAGCATATGTTTTTCATTTTAATAGAAATTTTATAGATTATTTAGCTAAACTTTAAACTATTAAAAGAATTTATCAAAGTCTAAATCAAGATATTGTGAAAGAAATTCTTTATATTTAATTGCTAGTTAATAGAAGGAATTGATAGAATTATCTTTATCTTCTAGATTAGAAAGTTTTTACTTGAGTTTGTATTTGTATTTGTCTTCAATTTAAAGAAAAGTAAATAAATCAAGCAATTCTTAAGAATTTGTTTTAAAGTCTACAGTTTTAAGCTATTATTAAATAATGAAAAATTTCAAATTATAGATGATGTAATTCTCTGATTCAGGATGGAGTAATTTGATTTAATATTATTCATTCTAAATGAATTATATAATATTATCTTTTGGTATTCTTTAAGTTATTGAATCAAGGTATGGTGTAAGAAATCGTGATTTGAAATAGTTGTTGTTGATATCTATATTCAAAAATTAATGTCCTTATTTTAAACAGATATTTTAAGAGCCACAAGCTTAAAGGATATTTAAATATAATGAATTCTAAATGATTGGTTGATTATCAATTAAATTTTCTTTAATAATTTGAAATGCCTTAGTAAACAGTGACTATTAATTAATGAAAATACCAAGATAATACACAATATCAACTAGTATTTCCAATTATTCAGGAGAAATTGAATCATGACTCTGTATGTGTTTTCTTAGTATATCATAGTAAAACTCTTCTAATTCCAAATTTTTTTCAATATTCTACAAGAAGATCTAAGTGTGAAGCCTGGTGAGTAAGGATGGTTCAATAGTTTCCTTATTTACAAGTTTGTTGTAAATAAGTTAATACAAATCCTAAACTTAAGAAATCATAATTATATAAAAATCAATATTGCTTAATATTAAATTTCCAACAATCTCTAATTATTCCTGATCAAAACTTCAAATATATAAAGAATCCCTCTATATAATTTTTTATAGTTAAATACTAATATAGAATGAAATATACATAAACTGCATAACAAAGAGATTTTAAATGTTAATAGATAATATATTTGAGAGACTTTATTATATAATATTACTATATGTTTTATGTAACTATATAATCTATAAATTTTAAGATATTAAAGGTCTTATTATACTTTAGATCATATTATACATTTAAATAATAAAAAATATTATCAAGCATCATAAAATTCTTCTTTGTTTTCATCATAAACTTATGAAGATTTTGAAAATCTCTTAAGTATATATGAAACAAATGCCAAAAATAAAATTATAAAAACGATACCATTAACCTATTATTTTTAGAATTACTAAATACCAACAAAAATGTTTCTAAGAAGAAAAATAACACTGGAGCTTCTGTTTGACAATCATTAGGTGATTAATATATTCTTCCCCCATAAAATAATAACAAAAGTATATAGATTCCAAAACAAATATCCAAGAAGTTAAAAAAAAGATTAATTGCAGCATTTTTATATCTATGTTCATTTAAGCATATTACCTTGGAATTAAAGTAATAAGAATATAAGTTCCCCAAATAATTAATCCATAGAAAACTAGATGTACAAATAACTGAAGATTTTAATTGCATTTTTGTTCAATAAATTAAGTCTCAATAATTCCTGATGCTGATAGAAATATTAAAGTGTAAAAAAAATGTGCACCTTCACTTGCTTTTAATTATTTTTTTGCCTCTATTTCTTACATCTGTTATATTTTATTTATAATATACACTTTAACGATGAAATAAATAAATATAAACAAAGAATATTATTAATTGTTTGATTGGTAAATGTATATAGTTTTGGGCATATAATTAAAAATTCAATTATTCACTATTTGATTGTAATTGATAATTTGAGTTATTAAAATATAAATATATTCCATCAAACTTAAATATATTTTAATTTAGATTAATATTCTCTATGATTCGATTAAAATATTATTATATTTTTGGAGACTCATTATCTTAGATTGAAGCCAGACAAGAAGTAAATTAATTAAAAATATTTCTTTTTTAGTATTAAATAGATGATTTTATCAATAATTAAACCATGAGTAATTATTACAATAAGAGAACCCTGAAAAACAAAGATAAGAATAATAATAGAGTCGAAATGATTCTTTTAATATAATTAATGATCATCATTTATTTTTTCTTAATTTATTAGGTCCAGCTCTCTTATTTTTTGTTTAATTTTATTATTTCTAAATGAGAGCTAAATAAATACTTCAAGTTTTTCAAGAGCTTTTTTCTTGAATTCCTCAACTGATAATATTTTATCTCCTTCTATGTCATCATCCTCATGTTCATCTAAAATAATTTAATTTAAATTACCAAATTATGGTAATTCTGCTCTATTTTTATTTTAAAGATTCTTCTCATTCATTTATGCTAATTATTATAATGAATTGATTTAGTTTTCTGATATTTTCTAATGAATTTATTAATAGTATTGCAATAATTTATTAGTTTTATTTTCTATTAATCCTAAATAAATCATCATGTTAGTATCAGTAACTCCATGAGATCCTGCTATTTCTGTTGCCATTTATTTATCACATTCAACTGTATTAAATAGTGTTTCTATCCAATTCTAAATAATAGAAAGAAATGAGATACTGTTAAACTATTAATGAGTTTAATAGATTCATTATATTTGAATTCGTATTATTCTGATTTCTATTCTGATCTTGATAATTTCTCCTCTAAATCTTTAAGATGTCTTTTTCTTAAAACATCTACATTAGAACCTTGACCTTCATATAATGATGCTTCATCTTTTAATTCTCCTATTTGTTTTTCTAGATCTTCAATTTCGTTGCTTAATTCATTGACATATTTAAACATTTAAAAATTCTATAATATAGAGTATAATTTTACTTTTTCTTCATTTTAAATAAAGATTTTGATTAATTCATCAAAAACTTTAATTTAGGTAGCTGCCTAAATTTTAGCAAAGTCTTCTTCATATTTCATTATTTATTCAACAATAGTTTAATTGACAGTCTTATCTCTAGTCAATTTATTAGTTTTTGGTTTAGTGAATTTATCAGGATCAACAACTTCTTATTAATCAATTTCTCTATTTTTTTCTGTTAATTTCATATAATCTAATGTTTTTTTATTTTTTTCCATAATTTAACTTAATTCTCTTAGATCTTTTTCAAAATCAGCAGATTCTCTTTTTGCTTATTATTTTAAACTTTAAATTAAATCATTTGCCTTATCTCTTTCTTCATAAGCTGTATTAGCAGTTTCAATAATATCTGCCATTTCCTATTATAATGTATATAATATACTTTTCTTTTTTCATGTAATTCCTTTTCCAATTTTTTATAAAGATTATCAAAAATAACTCTTTCTCTACGTAAACTATCAATTTATTATCTTAATTATTTATTGATAGCAATGGCTTCATTAAACTTTTGATTTGTTTTATCTAATCTATTTTCTAAAATTTTAATTTGTTTTTGTAAAGCACTTTCATTTTCTGCTCCTGCATTGTATCCACCTAAAGCATGTCTTTTTTCAATAATTTTCTTTTAAAAATCAGCAACATGTGTATCAATCTCTTCCTAAACTTTCTTCTCTTCATTAATTGCAACTTTCAAATCATCAATTATTGTATCAATATTAGGTCCTTTAGAATATGTAGTTTGATTTAATTATAATTTTTAGGAATTCATCTTGGCTATTAAGTCCTTTAGAATATAATTTTCATTCTTGAGCTTATCAATAATTCCTCTTTATTTTTTAATGTTTGCAACAGTTTCTTCAGCATATGCCTTTCTATCAGATTCTAAGTTTCTAAATTTCTTCTATTATTCTAATAATTAATCTTAAGTATTAATTTCTTTATCTGCAATTTGATGGTCTATACCTTGATTCTAATCCTGTTACATTTAATAAAAAATACTCTAATTTAAATTATTATATCAAAATTAAATTCTTTTCTGTAGAGATCAACTTTATAAACAAAAGGGATAAATAATAAGTAAATTGTAGATAAATATTATGATTCTTACAATAATTACTTATTGATTTCTATATTTTAATATATAATTTAAATTTTATGAATATTTCAAAAGGAAAACCTTAAGCTCAAAAGACAGGTTCTAATTTAAAATATTAAAATTAGGTGCTCCTAATTCTAGTATGAATTATGGTATGGGAATGTCTGGTATGGGAATGTCAGGTATGGGTATGTCAGGTATGGGTATGTCTGGAATGGGCATGTCTAATGGAATTTAAAGTGGTATGAATATGTCAGGAACTGGAGGGTTCTCAGGTATCAGTAACTAACAAAAATAATTTGGAATGTCAAGTAATGTTTCAGGTAGTATGGGATTCTCAAATAGCTCTGGTTTTAAATAACCATAATAGCAATAAAATCAAAAAAACAAGTTTGGTTAGCAATAAGGAATGGTGGGAATGAATAGTGTTTAATATGGAAATATGGGTTAGATGAATTAAATGTAAATGGGATAAATGAATTAAATGTAAATGTAAATGGCATAAAATTAAATGAAAAAAGGAATGGGATAGATGGGAATGGGATAAATGGGAATGGGATAAATGGGAATGGGATAGATGGGTATGGGTATGGGAATGGGAGGTTAAATTAATTATGAAGATGATGAAGACCAAGAATCAGTGCTATTAGAAGAAGAAATAGATGAACATTATAGACCTACTAACTAAGGTATTATTTTAACATACGAAACCTTTTAGAAATCAGAGAATATGCTTATTTTTTAGGGATGGAATTACCTGAAGATAATGATCTATTATATATAGCTAGAGAAGGATTGATGGCTCCATTACCTGAATCTTGGTAAAAATATAAATAAATTCAAGGAAACCATATTAAAATAGAAATAAGGAAATTTCATATCTAAATTTAGTCACAAATTAAAGATAAGAAGAGCATCCTTGTGATGAATATTATAAATAAATGTTTTAGAAAGAAAAATAAAAGAAAATTGAGAAAATGGCAAAAGATCAAGCTAAAATTGTTAAAGAATAGCTACTTGGTAAAGAAAAAGAACCAGAAATTGCTAGTATAAATTTATTTTATAATTAAGTTTAACCTATTGTTTAATCTGATGTTTTTAATAAGGATTAAGATCCATTATTAAAATAAACATAAGAAAAGAAGTTATAATAATATAGAGAATAAAAGAAGAAAGAATTTGAGGAATAAAAGAAGAAGATTGATAAAAAAATTGAATAATAGAAAAAAGAAGCTGATTAAGAATATGAAAAGTAATTAGCTAAATTAAAGGAATCAATAAAAGTTAATTCTTCAAAATAGAAATAAGAATTTGAAGAAAAGTTAAAAAAATTAAAAGAATAAGAGGAAGAATAGATGTTAGAATTAGAATAGTATGAAAGGGTTTCAAGAGCCAGTTTAGAAAAGACTCTTTAATCGAGATTAGAAATTGAGAAAAAAAATTTAAAATAATTAGAAGAGAAATAAATGGAAAAGATTGATGAAGAATATGAGGAATAATTTAAGAATTAAAAAAAAGATATTGAAACAAAATATGAAAAAGAATATTAATCATTAGTTGAATAAGAGAAATAATTAAGATTTGAAACAACTAATACTGTTTATGATGAAGAGAAAGAATTGGAAATATTGAAATAAAAATTTAAAGAAGAAGAGGATAAGAAATTTGAAGAATTAAAAAAAGCTAAATAAATTTAAATTGATGAATAAATTGAATAATTTAAAAGATAAGAATAAGAAAAAATAAATTAAGAATTAGCTATTTTAGAAGAAGAATTAGCTAAAGAAAAAAAAACAAAATAAACTTTTGATGAGAATTAAATTAGATAATAATATTAAAAAGAATTTGAGGATGAAGAATAAAGATTAAATGAAAATTTAAAATAAAAATTAGAAATAGAAAAAATGAAGATAAAAAAATAAATTAAAGAATAAGAATCAAAATAAAGAAAAGAAATTGATGATTAAATTAATAAAGAATTGAGAATTTTAGAATAATAATTTGAAGTTGAGAAGAAAAGAAAAGAAGAAGAATTTGAATTAGAAAAATAAAAAATAGAAGAAAAAGCTAAAGAGGAATTTTATAGATATAAGAAAAATTTTGAGGATTCTGCTTAATAATAAGAATTGTAAATTAGAGAATTTTTTGAATAGGATTAATTTTCAAAAAAATAAAAAGAATAAAGTTTATTAGAAAATATTGAATAATTAAAAAAGGAATTAAATATGGTTAAAAATGAACATAATAAATATAAATAAGAAGTAGAAGAATTATAAATTCAATTATAATAAACAAGTTAATCAATAGAATATGGATAAATAATCAATAAATAAAAATTTGAATTAAAATAATTAACATAATAAGAAAAATAATTATTAGAATAAATTGCATAAAAATAATAGAAAATTTAAGAAATTAAAAAGAATATCAATAATTTTAATTATAATAGTAAACTTTTTGGGGAAACAAATTTATCTTCTTTTGGTTAATTTGGTGGTTAAATAGATAATTTGAGAAATAAAATATCAAATAATAAATCTCCTTTTGAAATAGAAGCTGCAATTGCTCAATTAATGATTTAAATTAGATAATAGAAGGATCAATTGTTGGCAGATTAAAAAATGGTTTAAATGGATTTAGATAGATTAATGAAATCAAAATAGGAAAATTAAGATTCTTATTTAGAAAGTATGAAAAATACAGGAAAAGCTAAGTTAGAATAAATATAAGAAAAATTAAGATAATTAAGGTATTGTTATTATATATATATAGTAAAACTGAATAATGGGTGAAAGAGAATTAATCTGTTTTGAATCAATAATGACTTTATAGAATATTTAAGTAAATCATACTAATCTGAATATTATTTATTTTAATGATTAATCTCCTCTAAATGTTGCAACAATAAAGAAGTCCATTTTATGAGGAATTGTCCATTTATGAAGATGGAAGAAAAGTAATTTTTAATTTTAGAAGTAGATGTTAGAAAGATCACTAAGAGAAAAAGGAGGGATGGAGTACTATTTGATATCAAAAAAATTCATAAAATAATGGAAATATTATGTAGATTATGATGAGGAAATGGATGAATATGAAAAGGACACTCGATAAAAAGTTTTGAATTTAAATATGAATAGCCCGATAAAATCAATTCTGATTTAATTAACCATGAGAAATTGTTTAAGTACTTTCCTGAAGGTCATATTTATAATTCTAGCATTCGTTATTTGGAAAATGAATGGGATTATGAAATTGTAATTTATGTAATAGAAATATAGGTTTTGAAAGAAGTATATGAATATTTTAAAGCAAATTATTAATCAATTGAACCCTAAATAAGAGTAGGGTTTTATAATGATAATCTTAAAAGAAAATAGATATTCCCTAACTTAGCAAGAGTATGAATATTATTAATTTAAGTTTACTTTAATTTATTGGTCTCCTATAGATAATAAATTAAATACAGTAATAGCTTAAGTTGATTACAATTCTGAGATTAAGGCATGGACAAATTTACTTAGAGATACATTTTAAGAGTTATTCAAACCAAAAAAGATAAATAATGTTCGTATTTGGTGTCCACGACATAAAACATTTAAATAAGACTTATTAATTTAATAAATAATCAAAACCAAATAGGTAGATGGTGATATTTTGGATGATAATATGATGATATTTCAAATGTAAAGTTAAAGGAATAATTGTTTAATTCTTGATTTAGAAATGAACGATTGGTAGTTTACAAAGTTTAAAAAAACAGTTGAGTATGACAATGAACTATTGTTAGAAATAGCATTATAGGGTTGTGGTTAATTAGTGTGTGAATTTCCATAATGCAAATTAAATAATGGATTTTTAGAATTAGGTTTTGGAGTAGAAGATATCAAAGGAATTTGTTAAGTTTTAATTGAAAATGAAGAAGTCAAATGGGAATTAATGTGTTCAAAATCAAAAATTTTAGATAAAAATTTAATTCCATTTTAATAGAGGGATAACAAAATTGATATAGTTTAATACTTATTGAAAATATCTAATTCTTTAGAATTATTTGGATTTTCCTTTGTGGAAAATTTTAATAAGAATTAAGGAATATATTAGATTGACTAAGAAAACCCAGAAATTAATTCCCCATTAATTTAATTGACAGATAGCTTATTAAAATAATAAAAAGAAAACACATTACAAATAATTAAAAATTTATTCTCCAAAAAAGTTGTGGATATTGAACCACTAACAAATTTATATTAACTTAGAGCACTCTACTTGATTCTATAATTTAGAGGATGTCTTAATGTTATTCTAGAAGAAAAATCTTAAATTATATTGACTATAATTAGAAGGTTAAATTAATAGCATTTAAATTAATTATCAAAATGGCTTACTAAACTTGATAAATCTGAACTAATATAATTATAATAGATAATAAAATATTTGATTGAAGACCAAATCAAAATCCAATAAAATGCTCCCATTAGACCCCTATTAGAAATTGATGATATCTCAAGAATTAAAGGACTCTTTGAATTATATAGTTTGATTTATAAATCAAACCTAAGGAATCGTAGAATCAAAGCTTCTGACTTTATCATAAATTCCATATAACATTTTTACAAAGTCGATGCAGATAGAGAAGAATTCACATAGTTTTAATTTTTCAATTAAAAGATTTTGAGAAATTACTCTTTTACTTTTTGTCAATATGCTTGGTCTATGCCAATAGAATTTAAATCTAAGCTTCTCTATATCGAATGTAAAGTGAAGCAGTATGATTAAAGGAGAAGAACATATGGTCTTTTACCTTAATATGTATCCTTAACTATAGAAAGAGATAATATCATTGAATCTGCTATTAAATAGTTATAATAAACTTAGGTTTCCTTGAAGAATCCTCTAAAAGTTTAGTTTGTTAATGAACAAGGAGTTGATGAAGGAGGACCAAAAAGAGAATTTTTCAGATTGATTATGGAAAAATTAGTCACTCCAGATTATGGTATGTTTATTCCTAAAAATAATGATACTGTATTTTGGTTCAATCCTCAATCTTTTGAAATGCCCATCTATTATTCTTTGATTGGGAAGCTTTTAGGATTATCACTTTATAACTCTGTATTGTTGGATGTTCGATTTCCAACAGTATTGTTTAAGAAATTGTAAAGAGAGAAGATTAAAGAGGAAGACCTTAAGGAATTAGATATGGAGACTTATACTGGATTTTAATTTTTAAGGGAATAGACAGATCCAAAAATAGTTGAGAGTCTATGTCTGACATTTAATGCCACTTACAAGGTTTGGGGAGAAAATTATTATGAAGATTTAAAAGTATTTATAATATAGATAAAATAGCCTAATGGATTTTAAATTAATGTCACAATTGAAAATAGAGAGGAATACATATCATTATATATAGATTGGTATTTGAATAAGTTGGTTTAGAAATAATTTGACTTATTGAAAGATGGATTTAAAACAGTAGTTGATGGTGATGGTATAAAAGTAAAGCTTTATTTTATTAATTTACAATAGTTGTTTTCAGGCGAAGAATTGTAGTAACTGATTATAGGCTTACCAACTTTTGATATGAGAGATTTGGAATTGTCAACCAAATATGATGGATATGATATTAATTCGGAATATATTAAGTATTTAAATATTAATATTAAAGGTATTTTTGGAATTGCATCCATTCGTTGAATGTAGAAATGCAGAAAAGGTTTTTATTTTTCTGCACAGGCTCTGATAGAATTCCTGTTGGAGGACTCAAATCTATGAAATTTGTTATTTAAAAACATGGAGAAGGTATTATTTTTTAAATATCTAGATACTGAATAATTACCATCAGCACATACTTGTTTCAATGTTTTATTGTTACCGTAATACAAAAATAAAGAAACCTTAAAAGAAAAGTTGAAGATCTCTCTTGAAAATGCAGAAGGATTCGGATTGATGTGATTTGTGATATTTAATTATTTAATTATTATCTGAATAGTTTTATTTCATGATTCAATCAATTATTTCATCCTTAATAGTGATGATTTCATCAAGTAGTTGCAAGAACTATACAAAAAAATTAATTATTATAAATGAATGCTGATGTAAGCTCAGTTTAATTGACCGAAATAAGTCCTCCACTTACAGCCTAGAAACCTAGAAAGGACGCTTTCAATAATCCTATTTTAAAGGGGAATAATTCCCACAAAGTTATGTTTAGAGATCAAGCAAACAATGGTCCATTATTCGAAATTCATATTGTTGAAAATTTCAAAGAATATAATTTGGAAGAACCACAATTAAACAAAAAAACTCAAATATGCGATTGCATAATAATTTGAAAACTGATTTAGTGTTTAATGTGATAATGACTATAAAATTATCTATATAAAATATAAAATTTCGAAAATATATTCTTCTTTGACTAAAATATTGAATTATAGTTTATTTGAAAACATAGATAAAATAAATATCATTTTGTTTTGTCTCTTATAAATAACTTAAACTTTTAAACTTTCTATTTAAAACTATTTTTGTCAATAAATAATATTGTGATTTGAAAATATCATAATAATTATGTATTATTTCATTTTCGATATTCTAAATTTAGGTTTTTATTTTTTCTTTGATTTAAAAAAAACTGAACTTTAAATTTTTTGTAATATTTAATATTATATAATTTTCTTTATCTCTAAATGAATTGTTATATAATTATATATATTTAAATTTTGCACTTTCTTCGATTTAATTTATTATAATTAATTTTTCTAATGAGAGTGGAATGATATTTTATTTATTGATCAATAATAGTAGAGTCAAAGTAAATTATTCTTAAATTTCATAATAAAATTTATTAATGCTGCATTATAAAAATAAGAAAAATCCTTTAGAAATGATAAATCTTTCATTTAAAGATAAAAATTTAAGAGAATATTAGAATTTTAATAATTTCAATGTTGCTATAATAATTATCTGATGTTTCTTTCATAAACATCATCAAATATTAAAGTCCTTTATGGCAATAGATAAGTTAATCTTTTGACAAGATGAAATTTGTATGCTAGTTTTTGGACTAATACAGTTAAAATAATTAGGATAATGAAGAATAGTAAAATTAAAACAATTATATTATGTATCTAAATTAAATAAAATTATTACATTAACTGTTGATATATAGTATTTGGTTTAATTCATTAAATCCACATTAAATTTATCATTTATAAGTTTTATAAGATGAGAAACTAGAAAGCCTCCCTCTAATTCTAAAAAACTAGCTTATGTTCTAACTTTAAACTTATTGATTTCCATATCAGTTTTAATGAAATTGATTATATAAATTAAGACAGATTTTAATCCTCTCTTCATATTTTGACTCATTACTAAAGGACAGAGACTTTCAGAACGCTCTTGTAATTCATCTGGAATGTAATCACATAAATCTTTATCTTATAAAGTTGAAAAATATTCTTTGAATGAATCTGATACAAGAAAACTAAAAATAATATTATAAAATACTTATCGAAATTGTAATCTTCACTTGAAAATATTTGAGTTCGATTGATAGCCATTTCAATTTCTTTTAAGATATTTTCAATATCAACTTCAGTATAAAAAGGAAAGTTAGCTCTTCCATAAAGTACATCTCTTTAAGCATACATAGTAGGTACATCAGTACCAATATCTGATACAGCTTTGTAAAAGCGTGATGTGGCTGGATATTTATTTAAATATGTTTAACCTTCAAAATAGGTTAATGTAGCATTTCCACCTATTAATAATATTGTTGTAAGAATAAATATATAATAATAAATTTCCTACATACTTACAGCTTACAATTTTTGATTGATTCTTCTCATTGTAGTATTCCTATCAGCTATATTTTCAAATATCTTTTCCTTTTCAGACATACTAAATTAATATTTAAATAATAGATTTTAATCTTTACTTATTTTCTCTGATAAGCTTTTTAAGCGAGCTAAATCATTTTCAATATATTAATTAGAGATATTTTACATTAAAACATAATATTTATTAATATTTCGAGTAATTCTAATAAAATATAGAAGTGTTAAAGATAAAAAAGCAAACAAAATAGTTATGCTTATAATAAATATGACCTTTACTTAATCATTGATATTAGCTGCTCTTTATATAGTGTCTACTAATACTATTTCATTAAGATTTGAGAATTTCTCTTTTATTGGTAAATAATTTCTGTATTAATAATATACATAAGGACTATCAGCTACAGCTGCTCCATCAAGAATATAAGCCATTTTAAAAGTGTATTGATAGTTTATTAAAATATTAATACTATTTCTTAGGGATATATTATAAATTTCACCTTGGTTTGTTTTGACATAAACATAAACTTCTAAATAAGTATTCTTTAAAAAATCTTATAATTCAGGTCTATTAAATGCTTTTTTAAGATTCTAATCTAATGAATCATAACCCAGATTTAGATTTGATCTTGGAAATTTAATTAATTCTGCATATTATGTTAAATTAATTTATTTTTAATCTCTTAATAAATTGTAATTGACTATTGTCCATCTGGTTACTAAAAATGTTTCTAATGGTTGGAATATAAAATTCTTTATTTAAAGTAGATCTATATCAGATGCAAGTCCCTCTAAATTTTAATTGATTTCTGTTAATTACTAGTTGATATTATATAAAAATTACAATAATTTGGATTGACAATTATATTATAATGCAAAGAAGAAACATTAATATAAATAATTTGTGATTTTTGGAAAAACTACTTGATTCATTAATTTTAGTAAAGATTTCATATTTTTTATAAAATTTAGATCTTCTTGCACCTTATAAACTTGAAATTTAAGAGGATCTATCATCTTAAAAGGCTTATTATTTTTCATTGCTATACTAATCTTATTCTTAACCAGATATTTATAGTTTAAATTTATGAGATTTTGATTTTGAGAAATAATGTTATTAAGCAAGTAAATTTTCATTGTATCTACTAGGACTAATTAAATTAGTATGTTCTAAACAAGAAAACAACTTAACTTCATTTTATTCTGATTAATCAACTGCTTCTTATTGACTACCCTTTAATTAGATTTGATATAATGAATTAGTGTTTCTTTTTAAACTACAATTTTCATTATAAGGAATTTTGACACGACTTTCTTAATTAATTAAATTAAAAAAATTTAAATCTTAGTCATCTTTTTTAGGACTATAAGTAGGACTTAAATTAGAAATGCTAGGTTATGATTAATAATTAGGTTTTTTGAAAAAATCAAAAGTGATTATGTAATATATATTTTCACCTTGAAATGAAGATGAAATTACATTATAGGAAGTAATAAGAGTTAGAAGTTATGTTGAACCTGTACTTAATAAAACTTCATCATTCATTTTAGAAAAGTGTGCTTCTGCATTTTCTATAAATTAAGTTCCACAATTTATTAAAGGAAAATCAGGTAAAATTTTTTTGATATTAATACCTATATAATTATGGATTGGTATTTTCATACCTAATTCAGATATTAATCCTTCACTTAAACAAGATATTTTAAAGTTTTAATCAACAATAATAAACATTTATTAATTTGATGTTGGTTAAATGAATGATATAAAACTGAAATCATTAAGTAAATTAACATCAAACACAAATTCAATTAATTACATCATATTTTATTAAGAATAGTATAAATAACTTTAATTTATCTTTCTCATAAATTTAGCTTATCCTGTTTGAAGAAATTAAAAAACAAATTTATCATGATGTTCTGCAATTCCAGGTGGAATTAAACAACTTATAGATTTCCCTTATAATTATTCATTAGTTTTTTATAAAAATGAACTTGCATCATTGGAGCATCTTGTAATAACTAAAGTGTTAGTGAATTTGGATGTTAAATAAATCATTTTATTTGAAAATACATCTTAATATGTTCCTACTCTTTTGATTTTCTCATCAGATAATGCTATAATACTAAAAAGTTAGTTGGTTTGAAGAAAATCATTAATAATTTCTGCATAATAAAATCCCAATATACTTTAAGTTTTATCACAAGGAAAATCTTTATATTATTTTTCTAATTTTTTTTGTAAATTTAAAGCGTTTTCTATAAAATGAAGATAAGATGTATAATGATTATAAGTTTAGTTTTACATTAATAACTATTAACAAGCAATCTTCTCTCTTAATATACTAAGTATATCATTTCTTATTAATAAATTTGATTCTTCACTCGCCATTAGAGAAGATACTGCTAAAGCGATTTTATGTTATGCATTAGATTCTACTTATATTTTACAATCAATTTTATTAATACATTATTTTAAAATCACTTTCTTTTTAAATTTTTCTAAAATATTTAATTATGATTATGGTATAGAATTTAATTCTAAGTATGCTTCATAATCTTTTCCTTACAATATTAAAATACTTGAATAGATGATTCTTTCTTTAGCAGATTAAGGCTTTTCAATTTTAATTGTTTTGATATCTTTAATATTGTCAAGATATATTAAAACATTAATCACTTTACAATAAGTATTTTTAGAATTAAAAATCTTTTGTTTAAATTATCTTTAATAATAGGTCAGTGTAACATTTAAAAATAATGGAATTAATACAATTTCACTTGTAAAACTCTTTTCTATAGATGCAACCTTTAGTAATCCTAAAAACAATGTGTAAAGATTTATTGAAAGTAAAATTGATTTAGTATAAAGGTTTTTTAAAGGAGAAAATATAATTAAATTTAATGCTTTTAAAATATTCATTGTTAAAGCTAGTACTATTATAACTTTATATGCATCATAATATGAATAAACTATCATAATTATGTAATTCAAAATAGCTAAAATAAAATCTAAGAATGAAAATCTCGTATGTTAAAAATTTGTTGTATTAGCATTTAATGTGCCAGATAAAACTAAGGTTTCACTAAATGATATGAGAATTAAAAATGAATGAGTAAGTATTTTTAATTATCCTGTACTATATTCAAAAAAAAAATTTAATAAACTGCTTCGTAACAATTATCCAAATATTCCTATATATTTAGTATGAGCATTTATTGAAAACAAATTTATGATATACAAATTGCACATCATCAATATTATATATTATGCAGCATCTAAAGAGGCTAAAAATTATTGAGGTCTTGCAAATTCACTCAATAATGTAACATATGAATTCATTTCTCTTCTATAAATATAAGATAAGCTTAATAATGATGATTGAATTCTCAAAAACAAAACAAGAGATCTTGGAAAAATTACTAATTGTTCTTCATTTTTAATGTACAATTCCAAGAAGTAATTTAACATTTTTTAAAAGCGTACGTTCATTAGTTAATTAAAAATAATTAATTTCTGGATTCGACAGATTAAATTTGTTATAATTCATATATTCCAATTGAATTAATTAATTCCCGAAAAGAATATCGATGTATTTAAAAATAGATTGAATAAATTATCATTAATTATAAAATTATGTAACAGTAGTAACTTAATTAATCTAACTAAATATAATGCTAGTTATAAATATTAGATCTTTGTTATTTCGATGAGATTATTATAATAATTTTAATATTTCATCTGATTAATAAATATTGAAAACCCTTTTTAATATTTATAAAATATTTAATTTATATAAATTCTTCTTATTATAATTTTAGTCATTAAGGGTTAAATACATTATTTATTAATGTCAATTCACATATTAAAATTAGGAATATGTTAATATTTTTAATAGATCTTAATAGTTAAAGAATATAGAATAAGAGGTAAAACATTCTTAATAGCATAGATAAATTTATAGTCAAGACCTATATAATAGATAGGGAAATTAGCTTATTAAATTGTTTATAGGCAAATATGTAGAGAAATGACTTAATATTTAAAGGTATTAAGTTTTATTGTCTTGAATGGAATCAGAAGAATATAAAAACTTTATGAGAATTCTTTTATATAAAATATAGCAGATTTAAATGATATTTATTAATATAATAAAATTTTTAAGATGTTTATGAATCATAAACTCTATTTAATATATATTCTGATAAATTATAAACTTTTAATTATTATATGTTAATTAAAATAAAACTGTTTTGTACATATTAATTTTATATTGAAAAATAATAGAAATAATGTTTAGAAATATAAAATTCATTGAAAATATATGATGGATGTTTAAAGATCTTTTAATAATTTAACAAATATAATTTTTATAAAGAAATTTATTTAAATTTTAACATGTTTAATCTTATTAGTTATTAAAAAATAACTCCTTAATAATATTTTTGATCAATAAATGAAATATAGAAATAATATAAGTATAAAGGATAACTAGGAATATTTCCTGAATTAAAAAAAAGAATATAAGAATATTTTTATATACATAACAAATAATGATAAGAAATAGTTTCACAATAAAAAAAACATCAAAGACATGTTAATATCATCAAAATAATTAACAAAAATATATGATACATAAATTAAGATTAATTGATTAAGTATGAATTATTTATAGTTTTTTTAATTGAATTTAATTAATAATAATTAATATATGTAAACATTATAGAATAGATTCTAATACCTTGAAAAAGATTTGTTAGGTCGTGGTTCTTTTGGAAGAGTTTACAAAGGGAAAGACACTTAAACTGGAGAGGCAGTAGCTATAAAAAGTAATTCTTCATATTTATTGTTTAGTTATGGATATGAGTTTGTTTGATGATCAATTTATGATTGATGCTTTACACAAAGAAATTACAATTATGAAATAACTTTAACATCCAAATATTGTTAGACTTATTGAAACATTTGGTGATTCAAAATAAACTGTAATTCTTATTTAATAACTTATAATAGGTATTGATTATTGAACTTTGTGATGGTGGTGATTTAAGACACTTTTTAAGTAGACATGGAGGAATGCTTGAAGAATCCTTAGCTTAACAAGTGATGCAATAATTAATGCTTGGATTCTAGGAGATGATTAAAGCTGGATATATTCATAGAGACATCAAACCAGAAAATTCACTCATTCATAAGAATGTACATAAAGTTGCTGACTTTGGATTTGCTACTAAAGCTGATATTACAGGAAGATAATTAATTAGAGATTGTGTTGGTACTCCAATATACATGGCACCGTAACTCCTTCAAAATACTGCATATACAGCAAAATGTGACATTTGGTCTATTGGAGTGATGGCTTATGAGATGCTCTATGGCAGACAGCCTTGGCCTTGTAGAGATCTCAATTCCTACTTATTAAATATTAAATCTTCTCCATTAAAGTTTCCAATTGAAAAAAAAGTTTCAGAATAATTCAAAGATTTCATTAAAAAGTGTTTAACTATTGACGAGAATCAAAGAGTAGGTTGGAATGAAGTTTTTAAACATGATGTATTAAAGATTTCTTAAGAAGATAGAAAATATGTATAAATATATATATTTATAATTTAGGATAATTTTTAAGTTGATGAGATTTCCAAATAAATCTTAGCTAATATTTAAAAAATTATATAAGCTAAGAATTTAAATGTAGAATAATAATTCAAAATATTTGATTAAGATAAAGGTGGCCATTTGGATTTAAATGAATTTAATAATTTTGTTCAAGCATTAGATTCAAGAGTAACTCATAAAGAAGTGGAACATTTATTTAAATTAGTAGATAAAAGTGGTGATCAAAGAGTAAATATTGATGAATTTAAAAAATTGTTTTGTGATTATGATTACTCTAATTTAAAAGATGTTGCTGAAAGACTTATTGTTGATCTTAAAGAAATTATTAAAGCTAATAATTTGAAAATAGAAGAAATTTTTAAGAATTTTGATAAAGATAAATAAGGTGATTTAGATTTTGATGAATTTACTAAATTATGTCGTATTGTTGCTCCTGCATTGAAAAATGAAGAAATATAATTAGTATTTACAAAATTTGACAAAAATAATGATAAAAAAATTAGTTTTGATGAATTCAAGAGAGAACTCTCTTATGGTACTGATTAAGATTCATAATTTAATCCTGCTAAAGAAAAAGCAAATGTATATTTATATATTATAATTATATAGAAAATACTTTCTGAATTAGTAAGAATTGTTAAATAAAACAATTTAAAAATTGAATAAATATTTTAAAACTTTGACAAAAATAAGAATTAAAAATTAGAACTTGCAGAATTTTAATAATTATGTAAAGTTATGGATAATTCATCTACACTTGAAGAATAAACTCTTGTTTTTAAGCTTGTTGACAAAAATTAAGACAATTTAGTAGACTTTTAAGAATTTTCTGCATTATTCAAATGAAATAAATATACAAAGAATAAAATAAAATACATTTATTATTAACAATCAGACTCAAAAAATCTATTTAAATTCTAAATCAATTTTGAGTTTCTTCTATAACTAACATATATTATTAATTCTAATTATATATATTTATTTAATCATATTAGTATATAAGTTAATAAGTTTTTCTTATTTAATAAAGAGAACTATAAATAATAATATTTAATATAATTAATCTTTTAATTCTAAAAATAGAAATATTTTTCATATTTAATTTGAAGATGTTATATCTGATTATGAACATTTATATATTTTTAAACTCAAAGATTATATGAGGATTTTTATAAAATTTATGTAATATAAATAATATTTTAAAATTAAGTATCTATTGGTATTTATTTAGGCAAATAATCTCTAATAATATTACAAATAATTAAAAATAATGCGCAAAAGCAATTTATTAAAATCGTTGTTCAATAAACAAATTAGGTAGTTTGCTTCAGAGAAGTTTGTACCTTTCAATTTTAAAGACCCCTTGAACTTAGAAAGCTAATTAACAAGTGAAGAGAAGTTGGTAAATAATATTATGATGTTTAAGATTAGGGATTAAGCAGCTAATTATGCACAATCATAATTGCAGCCAAGAATCAGAGAGGCATTTAGTAAAGAGCATTTTGATCCAGAAATATATAAAGAGATGGGAAAATTGGGATTTTTAGGATGCACAATTTCAGAATATGACCTTTCTGGTGTTTCATATACAGCATATGGATTAATTAACAAAGAAATAGAACGTGTAGATTCAGGTTACAGGTCTGCTTTATCAGTATAAAGTTCATTGGTGATACATCCAATCTATTAATTTGGATCAAAGGAATTGAAAGATAAATACATTCCAAAATTAGCTAGTGGAGAATATGTTGGTGCTTTTGGTTTAACTGAACCTGATCATGGTATATTAGTAGGAGTAATTAATTTATAGGTTCTGATCCTGGGTCAATGAAGTCTCATGCAAAGAAAAAAGATAATTATTATATATTGAATGGTACTAAGAGTTGGATCACAAATTCACCAATAGCTGATGTATTTGTGATTTGGGCAAAGGATGAAAAAGGAGATATAAGAGGATTTGTATTAGAGAAGGGAATGAAAGGTCTGTCTACACCAAAAATAGAAGGAAAATTGTCGTTGAGATCTTCAATAACAGGATAGATTATTATGGACAATGTAAAAGTTCCATAAGAAAATATGTTTACATCAGTAAAAGGATTGAAGGGACCATTTTCATGTTTGAATAATGCAAGATTTGGAATTGCATGGGGAACTTTGGGAGCAGCTGAATTCTGTTTTCATCATACACGTTAATATGCTTTGGATAGAAAATAATTTGATGCAAATTTAGCATCTTTCTAATTGATTTAAAAGAAATTTGCTGAAATGGTTACTGATATTGCTTTAGCCTAATAAGCAGTATTATAAGTGAGTAGATTAAAGGAAAATGATCAATTAGCAACAGAATAGGTTTCATTAATTAAAAGAAATTCATGTGGTAATAAAAATGATTATTATAATTGATTAGCAATTGCTTTAAAGATAGCAAGAGAATGTAGAGATATTATGGGAGGAAATGGAATTAGTGATGAATATTAAGTGATTAGACATATGGTTAATTTGGAGACAGTTAATACATATGAAGGAGCATCAGATATTCATGCTTTAATTTTAGGTAGAGGAATAACAGGAATCTAAGCATTTAGTAGAGCATTGTGAGTAGTCATAAATATATATATATATATTTAATTGATTTCACAATTACAATAAATTTATATGGGAAATTCCAAATCTAAAGAGATCACTAAACATGCTAAAGTTGCTTTCACTCCTGAATAGCTGTAATAACTTGAATAGTTGTTTGCAGGTCTAAATGGAGGCAAAGATCTTTTAGAAAAATCTTTTCTATCTCATTTTCCTGAAAACCCAGACTTTTCAATAAAATTGTTTAACTGGATGGTTGAGAGAAGTCCAAATCATTAAGTTGATTATACCAACTTTGTTATTTTATGTAAGTTCTAGTTATCATAATTAGTGGAGTTGCTACTTAAGGAATTGAAGGATTATTATCTTGGTGACTATAAATTTAGAAATTTAGAAAAGTTTGAATTGTTTACCTTGATAAGTTTGGAATGTTTGGAAAATGATAAGGATTCCATAAATAGGTAGTTAATCAATAGTAGTTATTATAGATTTATGGTATCCTATTCTTAAGGGAGCATTGTTATTAGGGAATTATTGAATATTTATTCAGGAGGTTAAATAACTAATTCATAAAGAAATGATTTGGCAGCTAGATCAGTTACAAATACTATATTTGATTAAAAAGATGAAATGCCTTTCAATCAATTTGTAAGTATGACCAAAGCTTAGTTGATTTATGCTAATAAATTATGCAAACATTATTTTAATGTGAAATTTTTGGGAGATCAATCTCATATTGAAATACCAAGATTGAATACTTCCAGTTTTATATTGAATGATCAAGTTTTAGCATTACTTTAATTGAGTTCTCCTGATTTCAGTAAAATCAAATAATTATAATTACAATTTTCATCATCTGTAAGTAATGATGATTTAGATCATATTGCAGATATAGTGATTAATACTTAAAAATCATTATTATTCATATTCAGAAATAGAGAAGATGAATGTAAATATTTATAATCTATTTAATATAGCATAAAATGATACTTTCCAATAATAAGTATTTGGAGCTTATATCTCAATTGATCCAACATTAGAAACTCATTATATTAGGAGAAAATTAAAGGATCCAATGAATATATTGTATAGTGATAATGATCCTAAAAGTTTGTATTTTGGAGATGAAAAGAGTTTCATATTCTCATTACTTCCAAAATATTAACTATTTATGAGTACTTTTGATTAAAGATCAAAATAATGTTTTGGTTACATAAACAATAGATCTTTTAGAGTTGATTAACCATTAGGATTAGGATTTGGAGGAGATGGAAAAGGAAATCATAGAATATGGCTTGATGAAAATCTTAAGGGAAATTCAACTTGCAGGATCAATAATTAATGTGATCTTACTTATGAAATGGGTTATCTTTTAGAACCTCATATTGAATTTCTTAATGTATGCCATTTCAATTTTATTTATTAAGTTAACATGTATAGAAATTTGGAGTATTGAAGAAAAGGAAGTCAATCCATTATTATAGAGCAAGATTATAGAAGCTGGGAAAGAAGATATGTAAACAAAAGAAGTTGGTGAACAGAAAGAAAGTGTTATTGAGTAAAAATGATAGAGGAAGTTTCACTCTAATAAATATAGTAATCCTATTTGATCATGTAAAGAGGCAAATCTTTTTCTTTAGTTTCTCTGTTTTTAATTCACGAATTTATGCATTTTTTCTAACTAATTGTTTTATTTAGAACATGCTGAGATTATTGACATCACTCTATCTGAATCACATGAATTATTATCTTATTAGATACAAGGAAATTTAGATTAAGGTTAACGATTTCTTTATGATTGTTCATTATGGATATGTGAGACCAGAGTTTTAAGAGTCAAAATCTTATCATGTTAATCAAAATGCTCTCTTCTTCTTAAACAAAATGTTGGAGATCTATTTCAACAATTATAATACAAATTTGTTTTTTTTTATTCAATTTCTTTTTTTAACTCCTAGATAATATTATCTAATATTTATTCATGAGTAGGAGGTTCTTTTATTCTACTTTATCGTGGACTTCTCTACATGACTTTCTCTATCATTTCCTCGTATTTCTAATGACTTGTTGTCTTTATAAAATTTGCCTGTCTTCTCACTTATTTTAACAACCTTGCTGTTGGACGATACGGATTCTTAAAAAATGAGGGAGCCTTATTTCATCTAGGAACTGTACTAAACGTTGCTTTTCTTGGATCTCTTTTTCTATTCTTCTTAAATCGTTCATGTATTATTTTTTATATAATTAAATAAATTATATATTTTATAATTCATTTCAGAATATATATAACTATTAATTTATTAAGACTGTTGTCATATTTTTACAATCATTGTGATTATTAATAAATTGAAATAGAGTTTAATAAATTACTTAATAATTTATTTATTTAATAATTACAATCCACATTAATTATAAAAGATTCTTCATATCAAAATTATTAATTAATGATAATGAAATATGTTTTAATCCTACTAATTATTATTATATATATAAATTAAGTTTCATAACTTTTGATAAAGAATATAAATAAATTGAATTAATTTTTTAATATTAATAATAAAACCATAAGCTTTTTATTGTTATTATATTAAATTATTGTTTATTAAAATTAGAATTGTTATATGATTTAATAAAACAATAATATTTATATCAGATGTCTAATGATCCTCAAGTTGATTTGTTGAATATGGATCACACAACAGGAGAGTTTTTATAAATGCCACTAAGAAATAATTTTTTTTAAAGATTTGAAACTGAGTTTTTAGCAGAACCTTGGGATGCACCAATTGGACCAGCCAAGAAGAATAACTAAAAAGTTAGATCAATCAAATTTAAACATCCAATATCTCGTTTATAACCTAGGTAATTAACAACAGAACCACCGATTACTCCTAAAAGACCTAAGAGTTGCCAACAAAAAAATTAATTCTTAGATCTAGGAATACCAGCTGCTACTCCTACTTATAATAAAATCATTTAAAGAATTATCATTTCTTCACCACACAAATCATCAAGGAAAAACTCAACTAGTTAATATCGATAAAAATGTTTATAGAGTATGTTGGTTGCTTAAAAGTAAAATAGTTAATTATAAAATTTGACGCATTCATCAAGTACTTACTTCAATTTTATTTCTTAAATAAATCCTGTATCTTAAAAACATAAAACAAATAAAGAACCTTAGTTTAAAGCATATAAGTTTAAACTAAAAAATATGTTAAACTGATTCATAATATAATTTATATCTATTATCATTTTAGTTGATTACTGTCATTGAAATTATAAAGCAATATTATTAACTATTACATTTTTCATTTATAATTAATTATTTACAAATATTTAAAGATGCTTATCTATAATACAGATTTTAAATGACTATTAGGTATAAAATATCTATATATATACATCATTCTTTTTTAAAATAGTTGAAATTTTTAATATTCTTAACTTAACTCATTTTTAATATTTAGATTTTTGACTATTGCCTTGAAAATTAGAGTTTCTTTCAAATTATTAAGTTTGACTTAATATATAATCTTAGCTATTTTGTTGATTCTCCTATTTTTCTATATGAATGAGAAATAAATATATTAAAAATTATTATTTTATGATTTGCAACAATAAATCTTGATTTTATTTATTTCTTAGATTTATAAACTACTTTTATTTTAAATTAAACAAGAAAAGTATAATTATTAACCAATTATTATTATAAATAATTATTTAATAAAGTCTATTCATTTATTCTGTTCGTACAATATTTTCTGTATATATAATTTTAAATATTACTTAGACTTTCTAATTATAAATTAAATAATTATAAATATTATAAATTAAAATGGGAGCATCATGTGGTAGTATGAATTCCTCAATAATAAGAAGAGATAGTGGAAATGGAAATATGGGATCTAACATTATTTTTGTTTAAGCCCCTTTTGATCCAAATTTAAAGATAGATGATATTGGATTAAAAAATGTGTTAACTGATTTTGATAATTTAATTGCAGCTCTATAGCAAGTATTAAATAATTATATATGATTAGTTATAAGGAGAAGTACTCAAAATTCCAAGTAAAATAAATGAAATATAAATATAATGAAATTATATCATTTTTTCTTTGTTAATATTTTTTCAGCTTCTTACAATAATTATGATCCATCTAATCTTGTGTTCCAATTTAATTTATATTATTCCAACAATTTTTCAATCTATTCTTCATCTTTTTCATTTATCTTTTTGATTTCTTGTTCAGGTTAGACTTCATCATCTAAATGAACTTCAACATCTTTAAAATTAAACTCATCTTCTTCTTATATAGAATCTTTGTCTTCTTCTTTTTCAATTTATACTGGATTTTCTCCTTTTAATCTACCAAAAATATTGACTTCTTAATAAGTAGTCATTCTTAATTCATATAATGAATAATATCTAAATATATTATATATATCACCTATAAAAATAGCTAGTCATAAATTTATTGAATTCAATGATATGCTCTTAAGTAAATATGGGCAAATTATATGTATTTGTCAATAGTATCTTAGGTCTGAGTAATTTTTTTAATATTTCATATGAATCTATTTATGTGATTTTGCGTTCTAAACTTTCTACAAATATATAAAATCCTAATGACATGAAGGCAGATTTCTATTCAAAAGTATAATTTTTAAGATAATTGTGCATTTGTAATAAGTATTCTGAAAAGACAGCTAATTTACATTATTATTGAGACTCTTCTGTGGCCTAAGAATAAATGATTAAAAATTTACTTTAGATATTGTTTAAGTTTGATAATATTAAAAGGAAATAAGTTCATAAACTGGGAATGTGAATACTCCTCCTTTTTTATGACCTATTTCAAATCGCATGATGACAGTTTTAAGAAATTCCCTTTATTGATTTTATGTTTCTAAGGAGGCCAATTTAATGATGTCTTTTCTTGTGACAAAAGAATCATAGAAAGAGTAAGATTTATTAGAATCAAGTTTAGTCCTCTTTTTAGTTTGATGTCTATTGGAATTGGTGTCTGGAGAACTCATTTATTTAATTAATTTAATGTCGGACAACGAAAATATAGATATAACAAATCTTAGTGAGGGGAAAATTGAGAAATATATCCAGTAATTAGAGACCTCTATTCAAAAGAGAACTACAATGTATGGGTTAGATGATTTAACAGTAAGTGATTGAAATTAACGAAATATTAGATGATGAGATAGAATCAAATCTTGTGTAAATTATTGAATCACCAAGGTCTTATAGCTCTATAAAAATAAAATTACGAATAATGTATTGAATATTTACGAAAAGCAGAACTGGCTACAATTTACGTACCAGAATTAAAGGTTTGTTTTAACGATAACATAGGTTCAAACTTTTAATAATTTGGCTTGTTATTATAGAAAGATGGGAAAAACTAGAACTGCTCTTTAATATTTACAATAGGCATTGTCGATTGAATTATAGTATTTATAATCTTATATTAGATAAAAATAATCCACTTCACTCCCTGACATCTATTTAAATCTATGTGCAGTTCTTTCTTAATTAGAAAGACATGAAGAAGCCATACAACATATATATTTGTCAATCATTATGTTACAACATGAATTACTTATATCTTCATTGTAAAAACCTGAATAAAAATAAGATTAATCTAATGAACAATGTATACGTTTAATATTCTATTTTAAGCTTTCCCATCAAGATAATCAAGTTTTTAATATGTAAATACTGTTAAATCACATTATAATGAAAGTAAAAAAATATAAGAAAGAATGTCAATTTTAGTTGTTGCATATCATAATCTAGGAGTTGAAATGGAACATTTAAAATTATAATTTGAATCCAAGAAAATATTTCAATCTGCTTTATAATTATCAGAATAATGTTTACCTTAAGAACATTAATTAAGACATGCTCTAGAAGAAATAACTAAAAAATATAATTAAGAATAATAATAACAATAAGTAAATGAGTAACTTACTCTTAAACCGCTTCTTCCTAAAGTTTATCAAAAAAATTCAGAACTTAAATAAATATATAAAAGTGTTTCTCCTAAACAAATACTTAGAAGAAGTACTTAGTTGCAATAATAGAAAATCAATCCTAATAAGAATCTCAAATTTATGAAAAAGAATTCATTTAGTGAAACCTATAGACTTGAAAGAGATAGAATTATGAGTATCAATGCAACAGCTGAAGTTATTATCAAGAATTAAGAAAATAAAGACTTAAGCAATTTTCCATATTTGAAAACAGCCATAGATACCGTTAATTAAACATCCATATTTTGAAATATAATACTTAACTTTATATACAATAAGATATATTAGCAATATTTTATCATTTTTAGATTAATTTAACTTTTTATTAAACGTATCTTATCTCATATCTCTCTTACTTTCTAGAAAGTATATTTCATTTTTTATACAAATTTTATTTATGGATTTGTAATTTAATTAAAATAGTTTATATTAGAATGCTTACCGAACCAAATATTGATCGTAGTTTCGTAGAAGATTAAATTAAATTGCTTTAAAGAGATATCAATTGCATTATAGATTAAGTGAGTTATTTTACTATTATTTTAGGATAGAAACTTAAGAAAATAAGGATTATCAAAACTGTAAGATTTCTTTAAAGTCAAATCGAATGCTTCAGAACGTATATATATTTTTGATGCATATGCTCTTAAAAATCTCTTAAGAGTATTTGAAGACTAAGTAGAAAGAAATAGAGAAACTGGTATAAATATAGTGTTAAATTATCTTGATCTTCATGATTAACATTTTAATACAGAAACACTTAGATTAATTATTGATACAATTATTAATAGACTAAATCAATTACCATTTGCAGAAACCAGTGAAGAAATTAGATTGGCATTAATCAAATTATTACATCAAATCTAAGTAAAACACATTGATGCTTATATAAATAATCAATAAAGATTAGCACATATGATTGGAAAAGTACTTTAAGATAATTTCCCAGAAGTCAAAAAAGTAAAATAAAAAATATAAATTGAAAGGATGCAGCCATATTTGCAGCTGAAATTTCAAAGAAATTACCAATAGGAGAGTATATGGGAGAAGCAGTAAAATCTTTAAATTTAAATATGCAACATGCTCATACAAAAATTAGAAAGGCAACTGTTGATGTAATATAATATATTTAATATTTATAAGAGTATAGCTCCTATTCTATTAAGCAGAACTAATGGAACATTTTTAGAGATTGTTTTAAATAATTTAAGGAATCTTTCTTTAGATAAATCATCTGATGTAAGAAAAGGAACTCTGATTGCAGTTGCTGAATTATTAATGCACTTTTCTATTCAAAATCTGAATAGTTATGAAAATAATCTAATTCTTATATTAATGAACAGTTTAAGTGATGATAGTAAAGAAATATAAAATTTGGCTATGTAACTATTAGATTAGATTGGGTTAAAAAGATAAAAATTAGATGAAGAAGCAAATTTATGATATATATTTAAAGTGTGAATACTAATGTGCATATATTTATACATAATATTAAAATGCATATTACATTTCTAAAGAATTAGTAATACTTATATAAATTGTAATTAATTGAAAAAATAGATAAAACTAAACTTTTTCACAAAAAATAGGTTGTTAAAGTATTGCATAAATTATTAAAATCTAATAATGAAGCTCTTAAAGTTTCCATTGTATTACTAGTTACTGTATATTCAGTCTTACTTTTTTCAACTAACATTTATGCCATCACTTTAATAACTTCTTATAATTCATCATTTGCAATTCTATTATCAATATAATATTTACTTCGAATTTGATTTTAATTTCTTTTCACTTAAACTTTCTATATATTATGGACTATGTGCCTATTATATTGAACCTACAGATAAATCATTATTTTGAAGTAGAGACACTTATTTTTTTTTGATTTATGACATAAATTTATCTACTGCATTTGCATCATTAAAATCAATTTAAAATTGTATCTCATCTAATTATGATCTTGGACTTTATGCATCAAATTATTAATTAATTTCACTTAAATCATCATAAAGAGATACAGATTCTTTTTTTTATTATTTTTCACTAAATGAGAATACTGAATCTTATCTACTTTTTGACATTCTTAATTTTTATTATATCTTTTTGCCAGATTAACTAAATTTTGGTAATTAATAATCAATTTCTGATGAATTATCTTCTTCTTCATCACATTCAACAATTGCATTATGTTAACTTCGTCTAGAATTTATAAATAAACTTTCAACTAATTAAGCATTATCTTATTTAGAAAATGATTTCATTTATAATTTCAGATCACTATCTGGAGCACGACTACTAATATCATCTGATTCAAAAGAATTCAATTCTACTTAAAATATCATCTTTTCTAAGACACTTCTTACAACTTCTTAACACATTGTTTCTTCCATTCTTTATAATGATTATTAAGATCTTTTAGAGAATGATTCCAATTATAATTTAAGTTTATCTGCCTCTTTTTATGATTGAGAACCTTTTAATAGAAGTTCATCAATAATATTTTCTTTTTATTTTAATTAAGATTATAATTAATCAATATAATCTTCTAATTATTGAATTCTAAATTACATTTCAAAAACTATTTAACCTTCATTAACACCAGAAACTGTAATTGATTTTTTCAATTCAATATCAAAATTTTGTTCATTTACATATGATTAATTTGTTTAGTATTCATATTTAGAATTATTTAAATATTAATTGTAATTATTATATTGTGAATTTTTCCCTTATTATATTTATACTAAAAGTTCATTATGTTTTTCAATTAATTATTAGACTTATAATTAATAATCAGCATTTTTATTTATAAGCATTTAATTTTCATGATTCAATTACTTAAGTTTTTACTAATTAATAGTCTATATAGTAGAATATTAATCCTTAATCAAATTAATTTATTTTTAAATTTCTTGATATTCTATTTATACTTTATTAAGATGTTCATTTTTCATTTCTAATTCTTATTGATATACAAATTCATTCTATTCTTAATGCTCCTTTTATTTTTTTAATTTAATTTCATATTATTCAAGCCTTTTAGTAATTTCATTATTGACTGTTTCTAGATCTTTAATTTAAATTTATAGTTTAGATTACTCTTATTAGAATACTACTTTTTATTCTTGTATACATTCATCAAGTTGTTAATTACTTAATATTAATTATTATTCTTATTCTTTCCATTAAGATAATTCATATTTATATTATTTAACTTATAAAATAAGTTCTTCATTTCTTTATCTATACTCTAATATATTATTATTTTCTTTTTCTTATTATTAAAACTCTAACCTTTTTACTTCTTCTAATTTATTTGCATATTATGAAGTTATCTATTATAATTCAGATCTCCACATTTAATTTTATTTTTCTTTTGATATTTTAATAATATCATTATTTTTAGTCGATAAAACAGTAGATTACTTTAATTCTTAAATTTCTTTATCCTTCATTTCTAATTTCTATTGTAATTGATTAATAGTATCAGACAATTCATTTTTCTATTTTTATTAATATAAATTTATTACATTTGTTAAAGCTTCTTCTAATTCATTCTCTAATTACTATTGTACATTTTTAAACTCTTCTATTTCTTATTCTAAACTTTGTTCCCTATTTTTAGAATCTTCTAATTCTAACATGACATGAGCCAATTGTTTTTTTAATTCTTCATTTTCTTATTCTTATTCTACCATCATATTATCAATTTCTTCCAGAAATGCTTTATGTTCTTCTTCAGCTTTTTCTAATTTAGCTTTATATTGATGTTCTGAACTACTAAGATTACTATTACTGGGTTCCATTCTAACCTATTAAAGCAACTTGACTTATTATTATTCCAATTTTTTAATGATTTCATCTTTCATTTCAATTTCCATTTTAAGTTATAAACTTAATTACTATAAAAAGAATATATATTAATTCTTACTTCATAATCAACATTTTAATTAATTTATGGAGTATTTGTAACTTTCATAGCTCTCATTCCAAAAGTAAGACTAGATAGAGTTTCTTCAACATGTCTACCAGCAGGACCAATATTCACAATTAATGCAGTTTTACAATTACCACCAAGAGCATCTTATAGAATTCTAGTTAATTTAGAATCTCTAAATGGAACAAATGTAGATTTTGGACCAGTCAAAGCATGAATACATTTTCCTAAAGCTGTAAGTGAATAATTGATAGATCTAGCTTCACTAAGACGATCTCCTGTAGCTCTTGATTTTTTGATTCTTTCACTTCCTGCTAAATCAACAAGATATAATGTTCCAACACAATTACCTGATGATAATATACTTTCATCAGTTTCTGTTATCATATCTTAAGAATAGTTTTATAATTTGGAACTTGGTTTTTTTGAAATGGTCATAGATCTTGAATGTTATTTAGATTATTTCTTCTCTATTTTGATTACAAGCATAGAATGAGATCTAGATGAATGAGCATTTAAATTAGTGAATGCAACTACTTTATTTTTTTCTGCAAAATTCATAATACTTAGACATTCTTAAGGTGATTCAACTTCCATCCATTCTAATCCTGATACAAATACACCATTATCTGGACATTCTCTTATTTTCACATCTTAATTATCAGGTCTTATTAAATCAAGTAACTAAATTTATTATCTAAACAATACCATNTTCCTCTAATTCATTCTCTAATTACTACTAAACATTCTTAAACTCCTCTATATCTTATTCTAAAGATTGTTCTCTATTTTTGTAATCTTCCAATTCTTACATAACTTAACCTAATTGTTTTTTAAGTTCTTCATTTTCTTATTCTTATTCTACCATCATATTGTCTATTTCTTCCAAAAATGCTTTATGTTCTTCTTCAGCTTTTTCTAATTTAACTTTATATTGATGATCTGAACTACTAAGATTACTGTTACTAGATTCCATTCTTACTTATTAGAGATATTTGATTTATTATTATTCCAATTTTTATATGATCTCATCTTTCATTTCTATTTCCATTTTTAGTTATAAACTTAATTACTATAAAAAGAATATGTATTAATTCTTACTTCATAATCAACATTTTAATTAATTTATGGAGTATTTGTAACTTTCATAGCTCTCATTCCAAAAGTAAGACTAGATAGAGTTTCTTCAACATGTCTACCAGCAGGACCAATATTCACAATTAATGCAGTTTTACAATTACCACCAAGAGCATCTTATAGAATTCTAGTTAATTTAGAATCTCTAAATGGAACAAATGTAGATTTTGGACCAGTCAAAGCATGAATACATTTTCCTAAAGCTGTAAGTGAATAATTGATAGATCTAGCTTCACTAAGACGATCTCCTGTAGCTCTTGATTTTTTGATTCTTTCACTTCCTGCTAAATCAACAAGATATAATGTTCCAACACAATTACCTGATGATAATATACTTTCATCAGTTTCTGTTATCATATCTTAAGAATAGTTTTATAATTTGGAACTTGGTTTTTTTGAAATGGTCATAGATCTTGAATGTTATTTAGATTATTTCTTCTCTATTTTGATTACAAGCATAGAATGAGATCTAGATGAATGAGCATTTAAATTAGTGAATGCAACTACTTTATTTTTTTCTGCAAAATTCATAATACTTAGACATTCTTAAGGTGATTCAACTTCCATCCATTCTAATCCTGATACAAATACACCATTATCTGGACATTCTCTTATTTTCACATCTTAATTATCAGGTCTTATTAAATCAAGTAACTAAATTTATTATCTAAACAATACCATCTCCATATATATTTATAAATAACCCAATTACACAGTATATATGTTATTAGTGTCAGCTTATATTTCATTAAATATTTATTCAAAAGTACGAGGAGTGATTCCCTTCTCATCAGAATCAAGTTTACCCATCATTGTATATGTTTTACCTGTTCCAGTTTAACCATAACAAAATATAGTACCATTAAAGCCTTTGATTACACTCTAAATTTATTATAGATTATAAGTTTACTCCAACAACTCCTCTTGCAATATCATTATAAACTTAATTTTATGTTGCTTTTGAATCAAATACAGAGTCAAATTGAAATTACCTTTTCTCAAAATCCTTTTTAACTAATTATATTTGGAAATATGTACTGATGATTAGTTTTTTATTTGGATCAATAGTTTCAACACAAATGGATTTGTCTTTACAAATTAATTCCTCTTCAATTAAAGGACGAAGTCGAACTGCTACTTTAACTCTTTCAGACATTTGAGTTTAAATTTAAAATAATCGAACGGTATAAATTATATTATGAGATAACGATTAATAAATCAAGGTTTCTTTTTAGTAGCTTGAGAGTCATCTAATATCTAATTTATTGTTTTACTAAGATTAATAACAATATAAACATTACTTCTTTAGTTATTATAATTGCTTATCCTACTAATTTTTAATGATGAGTTTCTGGATGTTATACATCTTTAATAAAGAAGTACTATTTTGTGATTTCAGAATCGTAGAACTCTTATCACTAACTTTCTCTTAAGAAGCATTCATATTCACTTTCTCACGACTACTTAATAGATTTTGTTCTTACATATTCTTCATCATCATATATGAATGTTAAGTCCCAGAACTTCTTCTCTCTCGTGTTTATTGACTATCACAATTCTAAGCAACTTATACACAACCCTCTTGTTGATTCCCTTGTTACCTATTATAAACTTGGTTCCCCAAAATATATGATTTTTTGAACAAGCTGGGACTAGATTCTCTAGTTTAATTTTGAGATGAGATCTTTCTTTCCTAACCTGCTGTCAAACTTTTGTTCTTTATGTTAATAAATTATATTATACTTTCTCCAATAATTCTAACTTCTCTTTCTCCAATTAATCAATTTTCTCCTGTAGATTATCCGAATATAACTTCATTTGTTATTCTAACTAATCAATTACATTTTAAGTTTACCCTAACATGATTTCGAATTTCAGCTTCTGCCTTTTAAACTGCCTTCTCCAATTGATCATACTCTACACCTTTTTATTGTTGAACTAATTCGATCAAAATTGCCACCTGCTACTTAAGAATCTTGAGAATATCATCCAAATTAGGTTTGATTTCGTACTCACTCTTGATAACAGCTTAAATCTGTAAATCACATCATTTAAATAATATACATCTTGCACAATCTTAAGTAATTAGTTATTAATGTTCATATTTATTAATATCAATTTATTTTGCATACATTAAAGAAATAATCTTAACCTATAATCATTATCATTAAATTTAATTAGTAGGATCAACACTTTCGAATTATACAATTCTAGGTAACATCTATGATTAAGCTCTCAGGTTATCACTCCTGTATGAATTCTTAAGGAATCCAACTCCTGTTGATCTAAAGAACCTAAAGATATTATTAATAAAATTTACCTATATTTTTATTCTTCTAAAACTATGGCTTTAATATTATTTGTTTGACGAGATTATAATTTATCAAATAGTTCTGATTTTACTGTTTACCTCATTTAAGGTTGATCATTTATTTTTGTTAATCCAAATACTGATTTAGCTGAATAATACTCTTTTGTATTTTCATCATGAAATAATTGTTAAACTACATCTGTAAATCTTTATCTTTGAGGAGGTTCTTTTTTATTAGGTAAAGTTGGCTTATAGAATTTTGTAGTATTCATTTAAGTCTATTTCTTAATTGTTTATGTCTGAGTTTAATTTTAAATATCTTGATTTTATATTTATACATCCTCCTTATAATAAGATGCTATATCAAATACATTATCAAACATTTGATAATATTTAAGATCAATTTAATTTAGTATATTATATCCTAATCGTTGTTCAAAGATGATCAATAATTTGGTTACCAATTAATGAGTATTATTTAGTCTTTGTAAATCATATTAAGATAATTATTGATATTTATTAAATTGTTTACCAAACTGTATCATTTCTTTTCTTAACTTAATCAATTATTAATTCTTCAAAAATAAATCATTTAAGAGTTCAATAGCCAAAGATGAACAAGTTGATTCAACAGTTTAAACTTATTCAATAGCATATAATTAAATTTTAGCCAAATAGAATTCCTTACAATCTTCTGTATTGATTATGTTATTGTATTTAGAACAATGAAAACTTATAACTTATGAGTATAAGCAATTTAATTTATACTTAATTTCACTGGCTTAATCAAACAATTTCAACATTGTTTTATATAAATTTGCCATTCCTATTAGTATACTAAAAATGATTTTGCCTCTTTCTTTTTTACTCTCATTATATTAAAAAAATTCTTTATGAAACAAATTTAATGATTCATATTGATTGCTCATAATATCTTTTAATTAAGAATTTTATTAATAAATAGAGAAGGTTAAGAATTAAGATTTATTCATAATTTATCCAATAAAAGATCCTAATTTAACACTTTCTACACTATCACTATTAATGCATACAAAAACTGTCTATTTTTAATTTAATAAATAATCTCTAAAGTAATCTAATAATTCTACACTTTTAAATGGAACATCTACATGTTTTCGTCTCTTAGTGGTTAAATCAGCCATTGTCTTATATATTTATCCAAACTCAAAAGTACCACTAAATTTAATTATCTTAAGTTTTGAAATTATCACTTATTCTTTGATATCATCATTAGGACTGATCTCAGCTTTTAATTCAATAATTAAATTAGTTCTTTTGTGTCTATCCACAAATTTTTAACTAAGAATATTTTATTCTTTATTAATTAGATTTACCATAGCAATTCTTAATATTTTCATACCCAAAAGATAATTATCTATAATGACTTCTGGTATCCCAAGCAATTAATTTTGACCATTCTAAAATACTGGCATAAAGGGTTATGAATCCAATACTAATAAATCTTTAAAACCACTTTCATCATATTCGAATGCACTCATTTTTATAGTGATGTTATTCTCTAGAAATTTCTCTTCAATAAAATTAAAGATCTCCTACATAATAAGAAGTACAAGTCCTGGATTTCTCATATTTCCAATACCTAAAGTTGCTTTACCAGAATGTCGTTCACCCAATATCTAAATCATATGAGACTCTCCTGCCAAGAAATGTGAAATCAAATCCCTAAATACTGCTTTATAAATATCTTCATTTGAGTTCTTATTTGCAAAAATACCACTGAATTAGTATTATTAATCTTTAACTTATACAGTATGTTCATTAAGTTAATGAACAAGTTAAGTCTTTTCAGGTTCATCTAGTTGAGGTTGTCTTAACACTAGGTATGTTTTATATGGGATATCACCTATTTTGAAAGGTTCATTTGAAAGCAAAGATTGACGATCTTTTTTCATTAATATAATTATTATAATGGAGTAATGGAAGTATAATCATTAACTTATACTATTATGAAGGAATAAAACTTTAAAATAATATAAGTTTATTAATTATAACAAAAATACTCAACTTAGCAAAAGCATGATTTAATTTAATTAACAGTAACAATAACAAATGTCTCAACTACCTCAATAGACAGGTTAGACAGTTGAATCCTAATATATACAGCAACCAAGTCAAATGAGTATTAAGCCTTAGCCTATCACATTCTATCCACCTTCATTCACACCATTTTAAAATCAAATAATATCAAATCAAAATTATTAAATGCAATAACCATTTGAATAATAATAACAACTACAATAACCTCAATAATTTTAATAAGCACAATAAGCAATTAATGCTTAATTTTAATAACAACCAATATAATTATAATATGGTGATGATTAATAAATAAAATAAAGATAATTATCATAGAATCTTTAACAACATATTATGTAATAATAATGGAATGAATAATTTTAATAAATGTTACAGATGCATCATCATAATTATTTACTCTAAAATTAATTACATAATCTAATGATTAATTCAACTAATTAATCAGAATAAGCTAGAAGAGATTTAATGATATAACAACAATAATCTATGGCTGACTTTACAAACTTGTAACCAGAAACTATCACAGAATATATACCAGTTGAAAAGAAGATAATTGAATATGAAACCAGAATTAAAAAAATTCAAGTTCCTGTTACACATGAAATAACAGAATATGTGCCTGTCACTACAGAAACTATTTCACCTGAAAGAACAGTTAGATTATCACCTCCCAAAGAAGTACACATGGTTCCAACTGTTGTTCAATAACCACCTATTTTATAATAGACTGTAATTCCAAGACCTCCTCAAATATAGATGATTCATCCACCTACATAAATAACTAGAATGCCAACACTTTCTGCTTATTAACAAGCCCCATTAACATCATTGAGATCCTAATCCTAATCCTCTCCCCCTAGAGTATTGAACAAACCAACAGAAATTCCAATACCTCCTCCTCCTCCTCATCTTCCCTTGCAACCTTTTAATTATACACCTAAAGACTTTCCAACTATGAATATGCCTTCCCCTCCTCAATAATTTCATGCTTAGATCTAATTGAATTCACCATTACCACCACCACCTCCTCCTCCACAATTTGATTCACCACCTCCTGCTCATCCACATTAATTTGGAAATCCATAACATTAACTACCTTCTCATTTAATTCCTTAAGTACCTTAAATACCATCAAATTAATTCAATCAACACTAATTAAATCCTTACCAATAATAACATTAGATTAACCCAAATCAACCATATTAACCTCCCTTATTACCTCATCCACCTTAATCTAGACCTGCACCATTCATTCCAGAACAATATCACAGAGATTAAATAGAAGATGAATAAGATTAGTACTATTATGAAAAACCTTAAAGAAAACAACCATATCATCCTGATTTTTAATAGACTAAGCATGGTTCTCAATTAGATACTCCTAATTATCATATCCCCAATTATGATAGTGAAAATGTATAATTCCTATCAATATTACATAGATAAGAGATAAATAATCTGAACCGATTCAACATCCAAAAAGAGCTCCCTTCATTCCTAAATCTTATGATTCTGATTTATACTATGAGAAACCCGAATAGATTCATATTCCATCTAAAGATAATTAGAAAAGAGATATTCAGAGATAAGTCTATGAAAAACGACCATAGAATGCTCACCAATAAACCCTAAAAACAAAAGAAAACTACTTTAAAGACACTATATTCTAATGATATACCAATATTATTTTAATATTTATTATTATTAATTATGAGAACTTAAGAAAAGCCAAGCAAATAAGGTGGATTGTACAGTTTGAATCTTGGATAGAATAATGGTCCTTATCTTCCAAAAGACATAATGTTGACAAATTAAAAATCTCTAAAGGTTTGATAATGTAACAGCTTAGCTCCTCCAAGGAGATGAAGTCAGTAAATCAGTATCTAATGTCCTTGCCAGAGCTGGCATGGGATAGCTTTATGAACCTCCAGACATCTATGATGAGAAATCTAAATAGTTTGTAAACTTAGATGAGAAATACAAAACCAGAATGAGTGCAAGTGATAATGTAGCATCTATGAGTACACTATATACAACATCGATTAAATAGCTCTAAGATTCATTAGCTGAGTATAAAGAATTAATAAAGAAAACAGAAGTAATCAATATACTAAAAATTTAGGAAGAATTAAAAGCAATGAATGAAAAAATCAACAATGACAACATTACAAATATAAGAGAGCTGTAACCTATGCTTAAAGTATTTCATGGTAAATTGAAGGAGAAATTGCATGAAGAAAAAAATGAGAATTATAAATTAATGAGAGAGATTGAAGCATTGAATAGAGAAAAGCTGCAAATTTAGTAATCAATCAAATTAAATTTAGATAATCTATACTTTTTTCACATAAAAGAATAATGGATTTAGAAAAACTTGTTGGCATTTAGCATAAAACAGAATCCCTTTATGCAGAGAAAATTCATGAGGAAGAAGATGCTATTGATGATGAAGATGAATAACATTCAGATAAAGAATTAGATTCTTAAATGTCAGAATCTTAAGACTGATTTTTGTAATCAAATTAATGATTATAAATGTTAAAATAACTCTTAGAAGAATTATCATTAAATAACATAATTATTCTTATCTTAATATCATAAGTAAAATTATTGAATTATCTATTAATTTTTAATAGATAATTTAAATTTTATTCATGATATAAATCTAAATTCAATAATTAATAAAAAAAATAAATTTAATTTATGATTACTTCATAATTTAATAGTTGATTAAATTAAAAGTTGAATATTAATAATATATTATTAATTATATTTAAATTCACAGAGTTCAACTTGATCTTAAATTTGTATAATTCATCTCAATTTATTATTCTTTTTATGGAATAGGCTATTAATCTAATGTTTCAAATTTAGTCCTTGTAAATTAAAATAATAATTTTACATTTATTTAAGATTTCTAAATTTTATAATCAATAAGAAAAACACAAAAAATAAAACCGAGAGGATTATGATAAAAATTCCTCTGTAATTTTCATAATAAATATTCTAGGTAATGATCTTTTATTCTAAAATTTATGTATTATAATAGTATGATAATTACAATGTTTCGTAATTATTCGTTTAGATTTTTACTAAAAGAATATATTTATATTAAATTACCAATGGCTTATATTGAAGCTAATAATTTTTCATATTAATCTTCTCCAATATAAATTCGTTGATTTAGGTTATTTTATGGGTCATGCTAAATTCTTCGTGTTGTAAAAGAATGATATTATGAATTATAATTGCATTTATACAATTGTGTATTATCATTTAAACTTTGATTTTAATAAATGAAAATATATGTGATACTTTCTAATAAGTAATCTTAACTTGATTTTTCAGAAGATTAAATTGGTGAGTAATCAAAATTTATATGATTTTCAATTATAGATATTTAAAAATCTCCACCATTACCTGGATAGAAATGATTTAAAGGTACAATTGTATCTTATTTTAGAATATCTAAACTTAATATATAAGAAACAACATCTGTTTATGTAGTATTTTTAATTGTTTAAGTATTTATGTAATATGTATTTGGTAATACAAATGGGATTGTTCCAGATAATTACTAATTGTGTACAGATTCAATCTTGTCCTTATAAAAACCCATAGTAAGATTATCTCTTGAGGCACTTCCAAATACATGTACAATCCCTCCACATAATTGTATTTGAATAAATAATTTGGCCATTTCAAAAATGTGAATTTCCCATACTTTCTATTCTCCTACTTTAGTTCTAACAATTCTTTATGATTTTGGTGTTAAGATATTATAGTCTTTGTTACCCAACGTTATGCAGTAAGTAAAAGTATTTTAGCCGATTGGATTAATAGTAAGAAAGTAGAGGCCTGCTATACTAGGTATTTAGATGTAAGTAATGCTATCTATATCTTAAACAAAAGATATATTAGCATCAACAAAATCATGATAATCTGATAATATGTTAGGATTATTATATCTATCATTTTTTAAAGTAATATCAGGTGCACGAGTACTTTTATCTCTTTAAAGATTTATTTATTCAATTGTAATTGTATAATAATCTTCAATTGAATTATTTATTCCATTTGGAATAACAAAGTAAAATGGAATAAAAAATAATTATCCAATAGAAAATCTTTATGGCTATCCTACTTTTAATTCTATTGCCTAATTTTTACCTATGATTTCAATTTAATATATTGATTCATTAGTGATATTAGAAAACACTTTTAAATAATAAACTTAAAGATCATTTTCATCATTAATAACATTTATAATCAAAGTTCTATTAGCATAAATACCTTCACGACTTCCTATTTAATTTTTCTAATAATCTAATGTTCCATCTTTTTCATCTAGAACAAGAAGCAAATTAGAAAATTCTTTATCTGTCTTATTCTTTTTATCAAATAAATAAATTTATCCTTAAAAAACAGTTACATTTAAATAGAATTCATTATGACGATAAGGAAAATAAAAATATTTTTAAGTCTCATTAATTTTAAGTTTATTTTTAATTTCAATATTATCAAATAATTAAATAGGAAAATCCTTTCTAGCAATTGTAATAGTTAATTCAATATCAAGAAAGTTATTTTCTATATAAATCATAAAATAACAATTGAAACAAAAATTCTCTTAATTAGTTGTGATTTCCAAATACAAATCTTCCATTTTCCAATGATATCTGAATATAATATAAATTAAATGTACTGTGTTTGTATAGAATTTATGACTTCTGATAATTCATTAATTTAATATGAACGAACATGAATTTTAGGTTTGATGTATTAATTGATAGCATTGGAACTTATAAGAATACTAAAATCAATTTATTAACCATTATAAAATGATAAATAAGTTTTGGAATTCCAAGGGAATACTTAGTAAAATGGTTTTTAAGTATTAAGACGATAAAAACGAGATGATCCAAGTTTTATTTAAATTGAAATGGTAACTTCTTTAAGAGCAAAAACACCGATGCTATAATAATTTTGATATTATATACTAATAAGTGACTATTTATTTTGAATTCTTTTTTGGAGGGATTATTAAAAAGTCACCAAAATTGAAGTTGGAACTATAATCATGAGATTATTAAGTAGGCATTTAATTGACACTTGCATATATTACAATAAAATTTCTTTCTGAGTTTGTAACAATAATCTATAGTCCAGTAGCTTCATTATAATCAGTAACTTTAAAATACTTTATTTAATTGTATTTAATTTTGCCAGTATAAGAAAATCCTTCAGTTAGTTTAAATGCTCCAGAAGAACGTATAATGGTGTATTCATTATTATTTTAATTTTGTGAATCTGAATTGATACAAGTAACTGCAGCATAACATGGAGTTTTATCACAATTAATTTTTTGTATGTCATTTAATGTTATAAAAACAGAACTTTCAATTATAATATCATCATTTAATGATTAGAATTATGAATTATCATCATTAGTTGGAAATTATTCTAAAGTAGGTGGATCTAATTATATAATATTAACCAAAATTCTGATATTAGCAGTAATAGAAAATGTAGCTATTTCTGTTTCTTCAGTTAATAAAAATGTAAAAAAATCTAATTAATTTTTTATTGTTTTTGTAATAGATTCCTCATTATATAATTTAATTATTTATGACTCTTTAGAAATTAATAATGTAAATTAAGTGTCTTCACTTGATTCAACATGAATAGCAATTATACATTATACAATTTCTTCAGTTTTTTTGCATTTATCATATTTAATTTAATTAGCAGTTATTATCATACTTTATTAATTCATTTCAATAGTATCATCTTCAATATAGATAGTAGCTTATAAAATAGATTAATCAACAGATTCAGCATGAAGATTGATATATATATCTTCTTTTTTATAAAAGTTTACAAAAAAGATTTATTTATCAGACTTTTCAATAAAACCTTAATAGTTATCTCCAAGTACTAATTCAATTGGTTAGGAACTGATTCTATAATGAATTGAATAAGAATATAGAGAATATGTTGTAGATTAATTAGTTTAAACTCTTACAAATAAATATTAGGGGTATTTCTCTATTGAATCAGTGAGTATTAATGAATTTGATCCTGTTTTAATTGCTTATTTTAAATCAATTTCTGGATGATCAAATCCATACATTATAAATTCACCAGAATTAATTCTCAAAAATACTTTTACTTAATTATTATTACTATATCCACTAAGATCAATTTTGAAAAGTTATACATCAGTTGAATGTGAAGTAATAATTTCTTATGGATAACCTTCAATTAATTGTATATATTAATGTGCATATTTACCAATAGTTCCCCAATCATCTTATTTTCTGAATACTATTGCAGTTATAATATATTAACTAGCTGTTTCTCCATAGACTCCTATATATATAGTTCCATTAATAGATGATTGAATACCTTTGGCTCCATAAATAATGAGATTTTAAACACCTTGATTATCATTTTGTTCTTTTGTTGGATATATTTCAGTTCTAGATGAAAAAATTCTAGGTTAACCCTAAATTGGTGTTAATTAAATGAATAATCTTTAAATATGATCATCATTATTAACAGTAAATTTGTAATAATTATAGAATTCATGGAATACAAATTATTTAATTGGTGTATTTTCTTTTAATATAATAGAATCTTGTTTTGTTGTTATTAAAATAGAGTAAGTTAATTCATCTTCATCATTTTATTATCCTGGAATAATTAAAATAGCATAGAAACAAATATGAAAATTTTCATGTTCTAAACAATTGGCTGGTAGATAATCAAAAATAATGATGTCATTTCCAGGACTATTATAATTAAGTTCTATTTTACTTTAAAGAGTAGTAGTATTAATTAATAAAATTATTATTTTAGAAATCTTTAGATTTAAATTATATCTATTCTTCTTCATTATATTTACAAGTCCAAAATTCTTTACATAATTTTAAAATAATATCAGCATCTCCTTTTATATTTCTTAAACTTACACTAACACTTTGTTATTTATTACTTTTAATATTGAATTTATATTAATGAAATTTAAATTTACTCATCTTACTAATAGCTGGCTTATTTAATTCCATAACCATAAAATTTGGATTTAACATTTATGTTTTCAATTCAAATGTGGCATAAGATTCTTTTGCTAATATTGCAATATAAATATAATATCCTTTAGAATTAAATCTATTTAAATCTTCATTAGAAATTATTAAATCATCTGTAACTCCATCACGTAATTTCCATTAATAATCTTCTAATGATGCTGGATTTTCATCAAGATTAACATACATTTCAGTATAACCTTTATAAGATATTAATTAAATATTTAAAATTAGTTATCCTAAATAGAATAATTCTTAATCTGTTGTAACATTCAATACATAGAATCCTAATTCATTTTCTGAAATTACATCTTCAATTTATTCTCCTACATTCATAAATCTTGTAGATCCATATGTTCTTGTTTTTATTTATACAATTGCACCTTATTATGCTTCTACTAATAATGTATAAATTTAATTTGTCATAATCTTTTTAATTTTAAACTTTTGAATTCCTAAAAATGTATCCTAACCCTTATATTCATATTTTTAAAGTGATGGTTTTTCCAATCCTAAATTCATAAAAGATAGAAAAGATTCCTACAAAATTTCAACATTTTTCACTTATACAGATACCTCTAAATTATAATCCTATTATATTTGCTATTTTTATAATTATGTTATATTAATTCTAATTATTTCAGTCCAACTAGTATTATTAAACTTAAATTCTAAATCATCATCTAATAATAATATTAAGATACTTACAATTAGTCATCATTAATTCCTCTTAATAAACTACTTTTAAATTATATCTACAATATTCTTCACAATAAACTGCCAAATAATATATCTTCTTTTCTGGTTATTGTATTACACAAATATCTATAATTATTTATTAATTATAATACCCATTCCTTAAGAATTACATTATATTTCAGAATGTATTTTATCTGGTTTTTAATCTAAAGAAGAAATGTAAATATCAGGATTTCCTATTGTAGATTGTTATTTCACAACTATTATTAGATCTCTATCTTTAATCACTTATTATATATCAATTTCATAATATTTGTAATTCTTATCTCCTTACCAAGGTATAATAGCACTATTTAAAATATATTATATAATATATTACTCATTATATGTTTAACCTAATTCTAAATTTAGATAACCATAGACTTAAATTGTCAAACAAAAAACTATAAAAATCATAATTAATTATTTACTCAATATTATATAAATTAAAATCAATAATGAGTCTTGTTTCTGCCCCAAAAAATTTGAAAACTCATCTTTTCAATTTAATTGAATAGAATAAGACATAAGAATTAATCTAATTCATAGAAAATCATAGAGATTATATTTAAAGTCTTGTTGCTCCAAATTATTGGACACTTGGAATGTATGCAGTCAGATATAGCAATCACGAACTTATGAAATATTTATATAAAAAAGATCTATTGCTTGAACATCCATTATCTTAATATACATTATTATCAACTGCCTTTTTAAATAATGATTTTGAGAGCTTTAAATTATTATGCGATGAATTCGGAAAAGTAAATTGACTTGTAATCTTTAGGACATTAACAAACCTGTGCATCAATTCTAAGATTAAACATTTTTATAATATGCTATCAAATACAATTAAAATGAATTTGTAGAAATATTATGCTCTAGAGGAGCTTATTTTATTATAGAAAGAACATCTTCTTCATTAATTGATTGTTATGCCAATAATCTTAAAGTAGAATAAGATTAAATAGGAGTCAAGTTTAAAAGTTACAGTGATAATAGAGATGTAGCTTAAAGTTCAATTTTATAATTGAAAAGAGATAAACTTACTCCTACTCATTATTTTCGATTCAAAAATATCTTATTACTATAATATCTAATACAAATTAAGTAATTGTAAACTCCTGAAGGATATGGAGACTTTTAATTAAATTTTAATAGAATACTAGAGTATACAGCACCTAGTAATATTTTGGATTGAGTAAATTATAAAGAGATATATATTAATTATTGATATTATATGATATATTCAATCCATTTTAATCTTATAAAACTCACTTGGCTTCCTATTTTCAATTATTTTTATCATCAAATACGTATTTGCCAAAAAGAATATAACACATTAAATAAAAATCATTGTAAATACATCCTACCCTTGTATTTCAAGATAATAAGATCCAAAATTCCATTACACTTCTAAAATTAACCAAGTTATTGATAACATCAATATTTCCTTATTATTCATCTTACTATTTTGAAGTGCTAATGGAATCAATGCAATCCACCATACAAAATATTATGCAGTTTAAACTTTATTAAATACAACAAACCCAAGAGTTTATATTAACATTGCAAATGGTAAATCTCTATAATATTTCAGACCAGCTAAAATAACTATTAAAAATTATGGTAAAAATGTTAATGTAGCTTAAGTTCTAGTAATTGATTCAAAACTTAAATATATCTGATAAAAATAAGGAGAAAAATTATGTCTATTGTCTTTCCTTGTAAAATGATATAGATATGTTTAGAATAGGAAATCTTCATAAATTAAATGGAATAATATTAATAATCCAATAAATAATCCACCTGAAATCAATGCAAATTTCACTTTATTCTTACTAAATACACCCAAATATCTTAATATATCATTTATTTTACATTCTTTCTGGTTGATGAGAATCTATAAAGAAATATAATGGAATTGCATATATTATTGGATATATACGCAAATGAACCATTAATCCGTATATAAGTGCCGCCAATGTATACTTCTCTTTCTTCAATAAATATAACATGACATAAATTAAAAGCACTATTATTGTATCAGATGATCCCCTAGTTGATACTTAGATTATAAGAGGATTAAAAATCCATAAATTCAATAAAAATGTAGATTTTACCATCTTTTACATAAACACACATGCTAACATATCTACAAAACTAAAGAGAATCTTTCCAAATGATGATATCCACACATTTGGTATTAAGATATATGCTAAAATAGGTGAATATCTATAAGTATGTCTATCATAAGGTGAACCACCATCAACTACATATTAAGCTCCATCAGAGTACACCTACATATTAATTCTAAAGATACTGAATAATCTATATCTGTATATTTGAGATTGAAATATTTATCCTAAATCTCAGCATAAGCAATTAATCCTAGTCTTATTAAAAGACCTATAATTATTGCAATTTTTGGACTCATAAATTAATTAATGTTTAAATTACGAACTCATACTGTCAAACAATGGCTACTTTAAAGATTTCGTAAATCTGTTAATAGTTTATATATAACAGATCCATAAGAAGAAGTATTTTAATATCATATTAAGAAATATAAATAAGAATTAGCAGAACTTTTTGCTAAATTTGATTAGGAAGGAAAAGGCAGGATTTAAAAATATGAATTACTTACTCTTCTTAACAAATATGGAATCAGTATTAATGAACAAGAATTAACATGTTATATCAAACAAGCAAATTCAAAAAGTGGTCATTTTATAACAACCGAATAATTCAAATAGTGTGTTTTATCAGAAAACTCAAAACTCTTTCTTAAAAAGCTTATTCATAAATCAAATGAAAGAAATCCTCAAAATTACTATCCTACTGAAATTACTAAAGTCTTAAATTAAGTCCATTATTTAAGTGAAAGAGGTAGGCTCTTATCACAAATTGAAGACAAATTAATTCCAGTTGAATAAAAATTACAGCCTTTAAGTAAATTAATGAACCTTAGTCGCGAGATCACTATAACTGAACAAAGACCATAATCAAAATTACCTTTGAGATTACCAAGAGCAAAATCAACTTGTACTACAAATTATAATAGTATATCTACTGCTATTACATTACCTTCTTCATCCAATTCGAGGTTTGGAGATAATCGTATATCTTTTAGAAGGCATCCTACCTAATATTGTGAATGATATTAATTAATTAACTTTATCAAAAATTCAATTCAATACTCTAAAATCTTAAGTAAATTTAATCTTTAGAATAATTATCTTCATATAAGATCAAATTGATCAACATAATAATATTCAGTTTTTCTTAATACCTTATAAATATCATTTAATAAAAACTATTTTTTTTTTTATAGTATAGTTTATAGTGAAATAGAAAAAATTAGAATATATATAAATATGGCTATTTTACTTTTGTAAACTCTCTTTTTTCTTATTAAAATATATTCTTCTTCAATATAAATTTTATATGATTTACTTTCTTTAGTATTTATTTAAATTTATAATGAAATTTTATCTATTCTTTTAGATTATTAACTTAAAATTGAAGAAAATTGGAATAAAGTGTTGTTAATTATAAAATATAAATATAAAAATAAAATATTTTAATGGAATCTAACTCCTTAGATTTTAAAATAAATATATAACCAAAGATGTTAACCGAGCATGTAGAGCCTGATGTTGATTTGACTGTGGATAAATATGATGCTGTATACTAGAATACTTAATAGGAAGAGGAAGTGGAGACAGCTCATGTATATATAATTTATATGTTTTCTATAGAAAGATTTATTAATATAAGAGTATGATATTACTGAAGCAGCTCATCCATTTTATTGTGTTGCTGCATTGGCATTAACTTCTATTCCAGGGTTATCTTTTATTCTGTTGCAAGATGTTATACATGCTTATCCTTTAGTTATTATACTCTAGTTGGCATAATTTCTATTATTAAAGAACTATTTGGGTTTAAAATTGATTGGGTTACGTTGGTGGATTGAAATGAATATTAATGGTGAATAGAAATGGATGTTCTAAACTCAATCATAAGAATAATCAAATAAAGTTGATAGATATTTCTTCTGGGCCTGTCTTATATATGGATCAATCTTTTGGGGTATTATGTGTCTTGGAGATGTTTTTGGATTTAAAATTTTCTGGGTATGATTGTAATTGGATTATAGTTACCTTTGCCAATCATATGTTTTGTTTTGTCTTTAACTAATTTACAAGGATTTTATAAATGTAGAGGAGAGCATAAGAAGAAATTATAATAATTGAAAAGAGAAATGGCTAAAGGTGGAATGAATATAGTGGGAATGATTATGAAGTGATATGAAATTGTTATTTTTAATATTTTTGAATTTAATATGACTGATAGTGTGTAAGCAATTTAAGAAAGTTACACAAGAATCAAGTTACTTAATAATGACATTTAAATAAAAGATTAAACAATTAATTTATTACAAGAGAGGTTATTAGAAATGGAAGATTAAATGAATTAAGCAATAAAATAAAAAGATTATGCGGATCGTTAATTTTAAATTTTATAGGATGAACATGATTAAATGTTTGAAAATTAATAAAGGAAAACAAAGTAATTGTAATAGTTTAATTAATAATTATTGGTTGCTTTAAAAGAAGTATAAGATAAAAATTAAGAATTATTAGAGTAAGTGTAATATTAAAGTTAAGAAATTTAATCTAAAGAATAGTCATTATCAGAATTGACTGATTAGATAGCAATGATAAAAGATGCAGTAAAGGGATTAGAAGAAGAATTATCATAATTAACAAAGAAAAATTAATAATTAAAAAAAGAAAAATAAGATGGTGAATAATAAATGAGATAGATAATTGCTGAAAAGAATAAATTTGAAAGCAATATAACTAATATGTTGAAGTAATTAGAAACAGAAAATGATTTATTAAAATAAGAATTAGAAGATTATAGAACAAGATTGGAATAGTAACATTAAGAATTAGTTGAATTAAAATATGTTAAAATATAATTTGAAGATTTAGAGAAGAAAAATAATTAATTAAATGAACAATATAATATTTAAATATAAACTGCTATGGAATGTGAAAAGAATTATTCATTATAATTTGATGAAATGAATAAAGCAAATGAGAAATTTAGAAAATAATGTGAAATTTTTAATGAACAATATGAATAATAAAAAGAATATAATTAAACAATTGAAAATTAAAATTAAGAATTTTCAAAATTATTTAGTTATGTTTAAAATTAAATAGATGAAATTATGTCAGAATGTTTTTCAATTAATAAAAGTTATATTCCTTAAGATCCAATATTTGAAAGTAAAAAATCTTAAAATTCTAATAAATACTCAAGTTAAAAAAAGAAAAAAAAAAATAATTACAATATATCATAAATTGAAGATTTTTTTGTTGATATTAAAGATATTTTAATGGATTTAATTGAATCTAATTCACATTTAAAAGAAGAAAAAGATTAAATTAGTTAAAATATTCTTGAAATGCATAAAGTTGGTGAATAACTTAAATTAAAATTTGATTAATTAAATTAAGAATATTCAAAAACTAAAGAAAAATTATAATAAGAACATAAATCTATATTTGAATAATAAAATGATAAAATTAATTAACTTTAAGATGCTTTATAGTAATAAAATCTATAAGCTTAATAAGATAATTAATATATTAATTCATTAATTGATAAATGTTATCATTATGATCAATCATTTCAATCATATGAACAATAAATTTAATAATCCAAATGGTAAACATAAAATATTGTTTAAGAATTTGAAGAATTAAAGAATGACCATAATCAATTAAAATCTGAATTTTCAGAATTATAAGTAAGAAAAGCTATTTCTCAAAATAAAGTTGCTTTAAGTTATAGTGTAATTTCACATTTATTATAAAATGAAAAAACAATAAAGACTTTCTCATAATTTATATAATATTCAAATTATTTGCATTATTTTGTTTTAATGAGAAATGAATTTAAAAGCAATAGCAATCACATTTATAAACGATTTAGAAGAGCAGTATATGCTGTCATTTTTGTTTAGAAAATTAGATATTCAATACTTCCTTCAAATGAAAAAAATTAATTAAATTTTGATAAAAATGAAGAATTAGATATGGTTTTAGAAAAGTATATCCCAATTTTTCATAGTTTAGAAGATGGATAAGCAGTAGAATTCAATGCATTTGAAAAAATGATAAAAGATATGAAAATTTAAGTTAATAAATACAATTATAGAAGTTAAATTAGATCAACTAATTCATAGTAATATTTCTAATTGCTTAATTTAGCTAAAGAAGATATATAAAAGAAAAATTCATTTAATTAACAAATTGATTATTATAAAAAATAATTAAACACTTTCTAAAATAAGATCTCTTAATTAGATTAATATGTATTATAATTAGAATAAGATTTAAAGGAGAAAACAAATGAATAAAAAAAATAAAGCTACTCATAACAATCTGAAGAAAAATAAGTTAGTAAATATAGAATTGAACCTCCCTCTCCTATTAAAAATAATCTCTCAACTGTACTTTAAAATGAATTAACATAAATTCTTAGTAAAAAATCAACTCTATAGAATAAAGCTGGATAAATAGTTAAATAAGGTTTTTGATTTAGTATTATAATAAATATATATTCTAATTGTCATCGTTTAATATTTGTACTAAATGTTTTTGACAAAACTTTTTATTTTTAATTAAGAGGATTTAAAAGAGGAAGCTTATTTTAAACTTTATAGTTTCCTTTCAATCTTTATGAATTATATTAATCCTTTATTCTATTTAATTTTGGAGTATTATTTTATTCATTGTTTTCTATTGACATTTAAGAAGAATAGAAATTTATTTTGCTATGTTTATAATTGAAGTTTGGATTGATGATAAAATTTATTTCTTTATAGATCGATAGGTCTCCTTTTGGATTAATATCTATAAGCTTTTTCCAAGAATCAAGACATCTCAAATTCATCTAAATTTTTGTTAATTATCTATGTGTTATTGAAGCATTTATAGAATAAACTATACATTTTACATGAGCAAGAAGACTATCTGCTAAAAGAACATGTTCACTTCCATTCAAACAATAAATATTATAGGTATCAAAGAGTAAACCTATAAGTCCAAGTCTAAATAAGATACTACTCAAAATTACAGGTGGAGCATTAGCCAACACCAAAGTAATGAATCTATGATATATTATAAAAATATATACTTCAAAAAGATATTCTAATATATATTATTGTTTTGGCTATTAAAAAACCAATATATTATGATATGAATAACAGTTGAATGAAAGAATTTATGAACTCCATAATCCTCTTTAGAATGAGGATCTAAATGAAATACTTAATAACCATGCTTGAAAGTAAGAAGTAAAAATGTTTAAATTTTTTTAAGTCCTGGAATATTATCTTAATTAAAGTTTTGATATGCTCTGACTATTAATTTGCACAGGTATTCTGCAGATTTTAGAAATGTATCTTATAAAATTGGTTTAATTTCCTGCAACTCTTAGTAGAGCAAAGAATATTTATAAATCTTATTTACAATAATTCCACATTCTTCAGCCAATTAATATTCATTAGATGTTTCTTCTTACAAAATTCCATATAAAAAAAATTAGTGAAGTTTCATTATAATTTAAGATGTTAATATAGAATTAATGATAGGTTTAATTTCAATTTTTTGTTGTTCTACTTTTATTTTATTTGTGTGTTGTAAATCTAAAAAATTGAATAATGAAGTAATTGAGAACTTTAATAATTATATTGCTTCTTATGAATAAAGTTTATTGATTTTAAATTAAGTTTCATTCTTTTCAAAATCACTAACATATAAATTTAATTTATAACCAGGATAAATCTTTACCTTTCTAGGTGAAAGTGATCCCAAATCATCATCACCATCATCAGAATTTTGGTGACTTGTTCTATGACTTCCTGGATTAGACCTATGAAGTTTAAATTCCTCATCATGATTAAAATCTTCTCTAATTGTATCTGTTTAAAAATCTATGCTTTCACAAAATCTTCTATGTCCATGGAAACCTCTTAAAATTGGTTTATTAATTTAAATAAATCTTATAACTTCAGAAGGTTTTCTTTTAATTTAATTTGTGATTTTGGTAGACCTAATCATTTATTAAGTTTTAATTCTATGTATAGATCGTTAAAGATTTGAATCTCTTTCTTCTACAAACTTTTTGAATCCATCAATATCTTAAACTTCTATTTCACTATATAATAAATGTTCTCTTTAAGTTTAATTTATTTGCCAATTCAATTAATTTGAATTATAATATTCTTCCATTGTCTTACCTGCTTATAATGTTCCAAGAAAATCTGTTAACTTCTTCTTTTCATCACAATCAATAATTGGTGGTGTTTTTTCTTTTTCACTTAATGCAAATGATCTAAAAATTTAAGTGAATTTCTAGTTTTCCTTTGGATCCAAAATTAAAAATTAAAATTCTTTATTGATTAATAAAATTGAAATAGCTTCAAACCAATTAATACGTTAAAAGTATTTCCATAATTATTCTTAACATGAAGATCCAATACCATATCTATCAATTTATATATCTAAAACATCAACTAATATAGTAGCTAATTTATTATTATAGATATATTTTCCAAGAATTTAAAATAGATTCATTTCAGTCATTAATAGTAGAGTTGATTTTGGATATTTTTGAAGAAATTTATCCAAAATGCAACTTATATGTAATAAATTAACTGATTTATTTTTTTCTTCTAAACTTATTTTTATTTGATAAACTTAAATATTAATAACATATTATACGTAGAATTGGTATTAATTTAGGAACAGTTTGAATCATAACTTAAAAATTATCATCTGTTAAAAATATTAATGTAGTTTTATATGATCTTATTAATTCATATTTAGATGGTAATTATGATTCTATTTTATAATCTGTTTACTCAACTTCAACTTATAAATCATTAAATTTATCCTCCTAAAAATAAATATTCATTATACCCAATCTTGAATTGGTTCATGTTTTAATGGATTAAATATGAAAGACATTAAATATTCAAAATGATGTTCATCACTTAAATATTCAATTCTAGATTTTAGAGAGGGAGTCCCAACTACACAAAGCCATTTCTACATATTTACATATAGAGTTTCAAGCTCTTTTTTCATTAAATCAACTTCATCAAAAAATGAAGAATCAGCAATAGAATTATCATAATTTGATGTATTGTTTTAGATTGTTTTCAATTTAAAATCTTATCTTTACTCTTCTAAACTTTTACTTACAGCAAAGGGCATAGGTATTTAACTTTATTCAAAATCTAATAAACTATTATTATTAAAACTTACATTCAATAATTTCATCATCTAAATCATCAATCCATTTATGATTTCCAAATAATTCAGTTTTGCATTCTTCATATTTTTATATTACAAAATGAATAAATTCAGTGTTGTTTGAGTTTTTGATCAATAATTTAAAAACCATAGAAAAGTATTAGATATCTTATTAAAATTATATTGCAGCATCAAACAACTATTTCAAATATTGGCATGCAAATTTTTTTGCTTCTAAAATGTTTTCATAAACAGCTCTACAATATCTCTATCCAACTTGGTGAGGAACATGGATTGACTTTGCTTATGGAAAACTCAAATAATTTGAGTAAATAATACTTATCCATTATTTTTGATTTACGATGTCCGAACTAAGTGTTCAGTTCTTATATTTATGCCAATTCCATTATAGCTGAAAAAAAAGTATAAATAAATTGTTCATCTTAAAAATGATCTATTAGACTTGTAATGACAAGTTCTACAGTTATTGGATTGAATGGGTAAGCAAATAATACTTTTTATTTGTATAAATATTTTACAATTTTTAATGGTGGATACCTGATTAAAAGTTTTCATATAAGGCATTTCATTTGTTATAAGTTTTAATGCCTCAGTAAGTTTTTACAATCTTAAATATTCCCTATCTTCAGATAACTAAATTAAATTGATAATTACTGCTTGTTCTAATGTCATTTTTTTTACTTATCTTAAATAATAATTAATATTTTTATTTTAGATAATGTTACATTTGAGAATTGAAAGTTATATTATATTAACTAAATCCTTTGATAATACAATAATAAAGTAATTGATCAAAATTTATTATCAAATTTAACTGGGTTTATTTGATGGTTAAGTTGAATTTATTTATATACATAGTTATATATATATATTGTTTTATATATATAATTGTAAGAAAAAAAGATTATTTAATTCTAATCAGTGGATAAAATTAGAAAATAGACAAAAATTCTAGAAATTAGAATACTATAATTAAAAAATAAATAAATATAATTATATGAAAATAATCTTAACAAATAACAAATAAAATTATTTATAGAATGTATTAACTTTTTTATTTAATAATATAAGTGATATTTTCAATAAATTCTTGATAATTAATTTAAATTAGTTTTTTAAATAATAAGCAATAATTGTATAAACTTAAATATTAATCATTAATACTAATTATGAATAATTGAACAATTTATTCTTATCAAATAGAGAATAAATAGTCATAATTTTAATAATAATAACTAAATAAACTATTCAAATGACATGACCTGAACACACCCAATTTTATTGTGTAGCAATGGATTCAATAGCATTTACATTAGTACATTAACAATTATATGCATTATATTAAGAATCCTCTATTAAATACTTTTATAAGATTGTCATGTTATTAAAATAATTTCTTAATATTAAATAATCTGTATCTTTATTCCATTTTTAATTTATATGACATTTAACTTAGAGATCACATTTTAGACATCTTAAATTTGTGCATATACGAAATTATTATTGATTACCAATTTGGGGGAGATAAACATTTTCTTTTTTATTATTAATTTTGATTTGATTATGGTTGATAGTTTTATTATGAAATTGCTTTATTTTATGGTTTATCCATAATTGAATTGATTTCATTTATTTACTCGTCCAAATCATCATCAAATTTATTATTTAACATATTGATTTTGTTTATAATATATATTATATTTTTTTATTTGATAACCATAATGAGATAACGAAGTGGTTAGATATTATCACCAGCTAGAGTCATTCAAAACTTTTAGATGAGTACTAAGAATTATACTAGTAAAAATGCATCATAATCTCCTTTAAAATTTATTCAAAGGAATTTATCACAAATTATATTGAAGGATTTAGTAAAGCAAGATTCAAGTCGTAAGATAAATAATCATGGGAGTATTACAGAAAGAGTGCATAGTCAATAGCGATCCAACTCAAGGGATAAAGTAAAACCATAAACAAAACAAGCAAAGGCTCCAACTGAAATTAACCTTCCTTTTCAATAATTAACCAAAGGAATCAACTTGATTTTGAATCAAAAACCAACAAATAAAAATAAATTGATTTTAGAAAAAGGATCTATGACTCGTCGAAATAGTGCAGAAGATTTAATAACAAATTCAATATAGATAGGAGGTAAATCTTCCTCTATTGACAAACTACCTAAATCTGAAATTTAGATATATGTCCATTATTCATCAGAAGTAATATAAAATTATAAATTCTGTGCTAATATAACAACAGACAAAGTTTTAAATATGCTTAAAAATAAGTCTGGAAACTATTAAGTAGTAGGATTTGCGACTTTAGATGAAAACATTGGATTTGATTATTATCTTACAATACCTTTTCTGCCTTTAACTCATATGATAGGTAAGACTATCCGTATGAAACCCATATTTGGAATATCACCTCCTAAACAATTAAATTTAAGTTGTTTCTTATTTTTACATGTTATAGGGAGAGGAGGATTCTCAACAGTGATATTATCTCGATCTCTGATTGATGGCAGTTTTATAGCATTGAAATTAATTAGCAAAACTTTTGTAATATAAAATGAAAAATAGGATTTGGTTTAAAATGAAAGAGATATATTAATTGAAACAACAAATAAAGGTTCTTTATTTACATCCAAAATTGAATTTGCATTTGAAACTAAAAATTGGATCATTTTTGGTATAGAATTTTGCCCTGGTGGAGAAATGTTTAGTTATATGAAAAGAGTTTAAAAAATGACTGAGTCTTAAGCCAGATTCTATATAACAGAAGTTTGTTTAGCTTTGGGATTCTTACATCATTAATAAATTATTTATAGAGATTTAAAACCAGAAAATGTTCTTATTGATATTACAGGACATATATAATTGGCAGATTTTGGATTGGCCAGACCAAATATGTAGCCAGAATAAAATGCTTATTCATTTTGTGGATCTCCAGAATATATGGCTCCAGAGATGTTTCACAATGATGGTCACAATAATTTAGTTGATTATTATTGTTTAGGAGCCTTGCTTTATGAATTTGTAACAGGTCTTCCTCCCTTCTATTGTGAAGATAAGAACATTATTTATACTAGATTATTGAATGAATAAGTCTAATTCCCTAAAAAATTAAGTCCAGAAATAAAAGATTTAATTAAATTGCTTATGATAAAGGATCCAAATAAAAGATTAGGATCCAAAAATGGAGTAGATGATATATTAGCACATCCATGGTTTTAAGATATTGATATTACAAAATACATTTAAAAATAGATTGATCCTCCTTATATTCCAGATCTAACAAAGTTATCATTTAAATCACCTACTACTAATGATAGAATATTATTCGAACAATTAAATAGAGAGCAAAAATTAATTAATCAATTTATACCTATGTTTGAGACTTCGTTCTTTTATCAATAAAAAAGATATTAATGTTATGAATTTGATAAAAATTCTTCAACATAAGTGACAAAGGACACTATAGATTCATTGGTGAGAAAAAGAACTAAAAATTCTCAGAATAGTTAATAATCCTTATTATCCCAATAATCTTAATCATAATTGTCCTCAGTATTAGGTTCTAATGAAACACTCAAAAATACTAAAAGTGTAACAAACTTTAAAGTTTATTAAAATCTATTAACTGAACCATCTAGAAAATGAGTTTATATTTAGTTTAATATTTTCTCATCATATTTTAATATCACACAATTAATCTATAATCACTTCTAAATAATTAAAAGATTGTAATAATTCTAAAATATCTATTGATTTTAATTAAAATAATTTAAATTCATAAATAAACCAACAATAAAATTTTATAATTTTTTAAAATTAAGCTATTTTCAAGAATTCTTCTTTGGTGATAAAATTATATTATTGTTTAGTATCGAATTCAATATAATTCTTAAATTAACATATTTAATTATATATATTCTCTTCATATTAAATAAAAAATTGTAAAATCTCCTAAAATATTTAGAAATTTAAGTAAAGTATGTTAAAATTTATATTGTAACTTAAATAATATATTTTTCATCTATTATAAGTTAATATATGTAATTTTATTTTAAAAACTTAGTTATATAAAGAGAACAATTTTGATTGATTTATTCTTTATTTTTAGTTGTTGTTTCAGTTTAGAATATCATTATTTCTAATTATACATTATATTATTAAATTTAGAAATAAAGTCTTTATGTCGTGTAGTATAAGTTAGAAATAAGATTCTTTTAGTAATTAAGATCCAATTGAAAAATTAAGTCAAAGAATTTCTAAGAAAGAATAAATGGAAATGAAAAGATAATTAGATGTTATGATTAATAGAGTAAAAATGTTGGAAGTATTTCGATAACGATTGTAACTTTTCTGAGTATTTAGATAAGGGAAACAGATATAAAGTGAAATAAAAAATGAACAAGTAAATAGCATTAGAAATTAGTATAATGAATACTTGAAGTAGGTATTTAATGAGTAATCTATTTAGTAAAGTAAACATAAAGAATCTAGGGAGTAATCTCTGGAACTATTTAGGGAAAAAACTAAGCTTTTGAAACAATAACAATAATCACTAAGAGTTTAAATTAGATAAAGTGTGCAATAATAAAAGAAGGAATAATTTGAGTTAATGAAAAAATAATCGTTGAATCATGATAAAGTTATAATTCTCTAAAAAGAAAGATCAAAATCATATAATGTTGAGAAGAAATAAAGAGTTCAATAATATGAATAGTAATAACAATTAAACTTGGCTATGTACAAATAATAAAAATAAAATTAATTTAAATCATAACACAAAAAAGCAGTTCTTGATAGCTTTAGAAAAAAAGCTTAAGATTTTATGAAAATACAATAATTATGGGAACAAGAATAGGATATTTTGGATTTATTAAATGATTCTAATCATTCTAGATTGACTAATTCAATAATTAAAAACTGAACATCCCTAATATTTGTAAATTATATTTATAATATTATTATTAATCAAATACGATCTGATATAATATAATTTTTTGGATATTAAAATACAAAATAAACCATCTATATTGAAATTTGACTCTCCATTAAATCCAATTTGATCTGTTTGCAAAAATTCTAGTTTGTTTCTCATTGCTATTTCTAATATTTTTAATTATACAATAGTTAAATAGATAATTAATTTTTAAATTCTGAATCTATAATTTATAAATTTGAGACAAATAAATTATTCTTTTAAAAAAGAAACCTTGTTTGCTTGCTTTTCTATATGATTAAAGAATTTACGCACAGCCTTATATTACTATTGATGTATTTGTCATAATTAAAAGTTCCTCTTTTAATTCAATAATTTGAACAAAAAGCAACTAATTTTTATTATGATTTCAAAGTGTTGAGTATTTAAAAAGGACAGGAATTAACATAAATTACTTTTTAATTATTTGGGAAACAAGCAAAATTAGTTTTTATTTTAATTCAATCTGCTTATTATATTATATTAATACTCTAATCTGAGAAGTATAACAATTAATAGAGTATAATTGATATAAAAGTTTTGTTATCTTTTATTGATAAATACTAAAAGATTTAAACAAATAAATATTGAGAATTGTTTCACCATATAATGCTTATAAGGATGATAGTATAACTTTTATTATTAATAATTTAGATTATGATAAAATATGATAGTAATTAATAATAAAAGGATATTATTATAATAGATTAAATTAAAAAAACAAAATATTATTTTAATTTTCAAAATTAAGCAAATATTGATTAATGCTAATCTTTATACATTTTATCCTGTCTAATTGAGGTTTCCATATTTTCTCAAAATTAATAATAATGCTAATATTTATATACTATATTTTTTATTTCAGCAAAGTTATAATCAGTTGGTATCAAGAAGAGTGTAATTTAAATAAATAAAGTTTAACTAACTTAAAAATTAAGTTTATTACAAAGAAATACTTAAGACATCAATAAAATATTTTTAAATTATAAATATTTTATAATTTCTAGTATTTTATAAAAGCTCTTATTAGATCATTATTACTAATAAATTTAGGATCAGCCTATAATAGATAAGTATATAAGATATTAGAATATAATAATTTAGAATTTAATAAAAAATAATTATTAATTGTATTATTTATTATTTTAACTCAATTAGTTTTTTATATTTAATTTTTCAATGATAATTGATTAAGTATATATCTTTATACTAATTGATCAAATATTAATATTTTAAAATAAATCACTTGATTTTATTTCAAAAGCTTAATTATTGTCTTAATAATTGTTTAGTTAAGTGAATTTAATTAATAGAAATTATATTTCTACTGTTATATAAGATATTTCTAGTTGAGAGTTCTTTTGAAATTATAATCTAAAAATTTACTGTTTTAAAGTCAATATCTCTTCTTTTTTCTTATAAAATAAATTACAATGAATAGAGGATATTTTTAGGGAATAATAATGTTCTTATGTGTTTATTTCTAAGGAATCATAATATTGATATAGATTTTAACATAAATTATTGGTATAAATTTCATTATTTCATTATTTACTTTTCCTCTTATTTAAAAGGAATTAAGTAACCTAAATGTGAATTACTGTTGATANCTCTAATCTGAGAAGTATAACAATTAATAGAGTATAATTGATATAAAAGTTTTGTTATCTTTTATTGATAAATACTAAAAGATTTAAACAAATAAATATTGAGAATTGTTTCACCATATAATGCTTATAAGGATGATAGTATAACTTTTATTATTAATAATTTAGATTATGATAAAATATGATAGTAATTAATAATAAAAGGATATTATTATAATAGATTAAATTAAAAAAACAAAATATTATTTTAATTTTCAAAATTAAGCAAATATTGATTAATGCTAATCTTTATACATTTTATCCTGTCTAATTGAGGTTTCCATATTTTCTCAAAATTAATAATAATGCTAATATTTATATACTATATTTTTTATTTCAGCAAAGTTATAATCAGTTGGTATCAAGAAGAGTGTAATTTAAATAAATAAAGTTTAACTAACTTAAAAATTAAGTTTATTACAAAGAAATACTTAAGACATCAATAAAATATTTTTAAATTATAAATATTTTATAATTTCTAGTATTTTATAAAAGCTCTTATTAGATCATTATTACTAATAAATTTAGGATCAGCCTATAATAGATAAGTATATAAGATATTAGAATATAATAATTTAGAATTTAATAAAAAATAATTATTAATTGTATTATTTATTATTTTAACTCAATTAGTTTTTTATATTTAATTTTTCAATGATAATTGATTAAGTATATATCTTTATACTAATTGATCAAATATTAATATTTTAAAATAAATCACTTGATTTTATTTCAAAAGCTTAATTATTGTCTTAATAATTGTTTAGTTAAGTGAATTTAATTAATAGAAATTATATTTCTACTGTTATATAAGATATTTCTAGTTGAGAGTTCTTTTGAAATTATAATCTAAAAATTTACTGTTTTAAAGTCAATATCTCTTCTTTTTTCTTATAAAATAAATTACAATGAATAGAGGATATTTTTAGGGAATAATAATGTTCTTATGTGTTTATTTCTAAGGAATCATAATATTGATATAGATTTTAACATAAATTATTGGTATAAATTTCATTATTTCATTATTTACTTTTCCTCTTATTTAAAAGGAATTAAGTAACCTAAATGTGAATTACTGTTGATATTTATAAAAACTTCTTTTTTTCATATTTATTTTCTAATATATGTTAAGACTAATTACTTATATTAGACTTGATTGAATGATTGAATGATTTTATAATTTTCTATGTGATTTTGCAGATGTTTTTATTCTAAAATTAAATTATAGAGTTTTTGAAATGTTTTAGTTTTCTGTCTATATTAATATATACTTAAAATGCATTTAAAAATGAATAATTTCTTTAAAGAAATAACATGAGATTAATTGAATAGTATTGTAAATAATTTATCAAATTAGATGTATAATGCAAAGTAATGAAAAAAAATTAAATCTATTATTTTTAAATGGAATCATAACTTAAGTTCATTTGTATCAGATAACACATGTTTCTGGATTAAAAGTATGTACTTCTACTTTTACCAAACAAGATAACTTTAAGTCAAGTATAAAAGCTAAATAATAAAGTTTGGAAAAGAACCTAAATACATTATAGAATTGTAATTAAGCAATTTTATTTCTTGGCAACTCAATCACTAGAATTAAATTGTTAGTTTTGGGATTATTTGGAATAGAATTGAAAAACTATTCCATTCTACTCAAGAAGACTTAATGAAGCTCCGATTTGCAATAAGAAATCAAATTATGTTTAAAACTGTACATTAATTATACAGACCTCTTTCATTATTAGGAGGCAGTAATTAAGATGAAGTAAAAAATAAAAATATATTAAGTTGTATTTATGCTCTGATTTAATCGATAACAAATAATATGAAATCAAATGTCATGCTAAAAATCAGTTTGAAGATTCAATGGTATAATTTTACATTTAATTAGTCTCGTATTTATAATGAAATATAATGTCTAACTAAAATAAAATCTGATTATGTTTAAAATTTACATGAAGTTTTTACAGGAGAAAATACTGTCTATTTAATTTAAGAATACTTGGAAGGTGTAAATTTAAATGAATTAGTTAACAGGGTGACTTTGGACAAAACTTAAATTTAAATGATTATGAAAGTAAATTTGATTACTATATATAGCAATTACTTAATGCTGTTAGAGATATTCATTTCCACAATATCATGCATAGAGACATTAAACCAACTGCAATTGTTTTTTAAAATAAAGATTCAATAGAGGGACTTAAATTAACTGACTTTCATTTGTCTATACCTATTGATTCTAAAATAAATTTAAGAGAATATGGGACTCCAGGATATGCAGCACCTGAGAAATTCAAAGATAATTATAATGAAAAAGTAGACATCTTTAGTGTTGGTTGTATCTTTTTTAAATTGTATTAATTTTCTTGATTTAATTAGAGTTACAAAAAGAGATTTATTTCATGGTAAAACAACAAATGAAATACTAAAACTTAATAGAATCTGTAATATTGATTTCTAAATTCTACAAATATATAAATTAAATTAAAATGAGTTTAATTTATTGAAAGATTTATTAGAATTAGATCCAGAAAAGAGAATAAGTGCTGAATAAGCATTAGCTCATCCTTATTTTAATAATGAAATTATTCAAGAAGATTAATTAATGAATAAATAAAAATCATTATCTGCATAAATTTAATTAGATAGAAGTAATGGAGTATTTCAAACTCAGACAAATAATTTTGAAAAAAATATTGAAGAATTTTTGGTTGATTAAGAATTACCAAATATTTGTGCCATACCAAATTTCAAAGTTTTAATGAAGGATTCTATAATATAAAACCCTCAGGTTAGAAAAAAATCTAAATTAAAGAAAAGTGAAACTTAAGAATACCCTTAATTAAATTTTCTTAATCATTATTAAGTTAGAAAATCAGTTCACTAAACTATTGTTTGATTATCAAACAAATTAATATTATTATTAATTTTAGATGCCTTGAATAATTATATTGATTCATCATTTATTTTAGTTTTCCTGGGATTATAATGTATATTATTCTAATGCTTTTTTCTATGCTCTTTCATAATTATCTTTTTCTTATTATTCTCTTCTTAATCTTTCCATAATAAATTTATCATCTTCTATTTATAAATTTTAGATTGGTTTTACAATTTAAGCATTAGTAATAAAAGCAACCTAATTTATAAAATAATAAAATTTACTCTTTATTCTGTTGTTCTTTTTTCATTTTAATTATCTTATAATAATATTTCAGTATTCTTTTCTAAACCTAAATCTTTTCTATATTTATCATATTATTATTAAATAAAACTTTCTTTATGTTCAAATTTTTATGGACAATCAGAAGTTGGATGAGAAAATTCATGACAAATTTCACATTTCACTCTTGCTTTTTCAAATGGAATTTTTGTAGGACAAGCATAAGTTCTATGACCTTTTTCATGACAATATTCACAAAAATCATCTCTTAATACTGTTGCTATAACTTATCCTTATAATCTAGCATTTCTTGCTTATTCATCTTCTTAATTTCCTGATAATATTTTTTCAATTTCTATAACACCTTATTAAAGTTATTCATCATTATCTGCTTAAATTAAAACATGTAACTTATCATCCATATCCCAATCTACTTTCTTTGTATTTGAACTACCTTTCCCTCTAACTGATATTTTGCAACCAGTTTTCCCCTCTAAAAACTTTTAAGTATTTCCTCCTGGTCCTAAAATAAGACCAATATAATTTGTATCAGGTGCATTTAGAGTATCAGTTAAATATATTTTTTATGATTTCTTTAAAGGTTTAAAATCATGAGGAGGAACAAAATTTTTATTAATTTTAATGCATTCTTCAGTCAAAGAACATTTAATTCTTTAAAAATTTTCTTTTCTTCTAACTTCCCTTGTGTTAACTCTCTTTCCATGTTAATCATAAACTGGCTCAGGAGAAGGAGACCTTAAATCAGGATCATCCATTTTACTGTCAATAGGTTATTGTAATTTTTAATTGATATCATCAAGACAATACAATCTAATTATGTATTCTAAGTCATCAATACTCAGATCTGGAGGTATACAATTTAAAGAAGGAGGTTGAAAGGTTTTTTCATATTCAGGACCCCATCGAGTATGCTAATTATTAAACAAATCCCAATACAGAAGTATCTGTTCGCACAAAATTATAGCCATAATTCTAAGCCATTACAGGCATCGGTTACATACCCCAAGGTAAAGCCATACCAATAGGTACTGGAGGGGCTAAGCTTTGTGCTCCTACAGGTAAGATGCATTTTCTATTCATCATGGCCTCTAAAGGATTGAATTGCAAGTGTTTTTACTCAGGTCTAGCACACTTTCTATCTGGTCTCCCTCCCCATCTAGATTTTCTTGTACGTTTTTAGGGCTCTTCAAACATTTTTTCTGCTGATATAGTGAGAATATGTTGATCATCAATAATAATTTCATCAGCAAAATTCATCCTTGAATCTACATTATTTAATGTTTTTATACCTTATATATTTTCATCAATTATTATTCCTTCCTATTCTATTCCAGCCATTTTATTAATTAATTTGAATATAAATCTAATAATAAAAGACTTTCTTAAAGTTGTATTACAGATTAATATAAAATAACTCTAATTACTAATAATAAGGATTAAATCTAAACCTTAAAATTAAATAGAAAAACTTTATTTTAATGAAGATAATAACATTTTTAAGTTGATTTTTAAATTTTATATTGTTATCAAGAATTTCTGTCTTTAAAATATATAAATATTTAATAAAATATCATGTATATTCATCCATTTTAAAGGCAAGAATAATTATTTTATGTTGATTGATAATTAATTTCTACATAATCATAATCATGTCCAGATTAAACAAAAACACTAAGCATCAAAAACAGAAAGAATATCCTTAAGATTGACTAATATGTCCTCTATTCGGAGTTTTCATTAAACTGATCGTTATCAATTAGAATAACTAATTAAATAGAGCATTTAAAATCCAAAGAACATAAATGTAAATTATAACAAATAATTTAATATAGTCTCTCTTGAATGAATTTTTATCTCGAAAATAAGAAGAAATCAGAACAAGAGTTTATTCATAACCTCAGATCTAAGCCTGTGAATGCTCTCCTTATAAAAAAATTGTGAAGTAGAAAGCATCTAGCAGACCTAACAGCAAAGAAAAACGAATAGATACAACCCCTATTTCACCTAATAGTTCACTTACATTTAAAAAATAAGTTACTTTTCATATCGAATCAACATATTCAAAATAAAAGTAAAAAACAATATCTAAACTATCAACTAATGATTTGATTTAATATCATAAGTAATTGATTTAAAGAGCTTAAAAAATGTTACTTTATGCATAATTTAAGCGATCAAAATGAAAAATATAATTTAAATATGTCTTAATTAATTTCATAAATCTGTCATAGAATCTCTGGTTCTAAATTTAAAGAATTCCTCAAAATTGATAAAACCATTCATGTCTTTATCACCAAATCCAAATAATTTTCTAACTTAATGTTCTGCCTCCCCTCTAAATGATTATTTTAATTCATCTATTTTTAAAATACCATCTAATTATTTTTCTCATAATTTATACCATCATCTAGATCATATGATAGAAATTCTTCCTAAATTTTTTATTTAGTCCCTTCACTAATTGTTCCTTAATCTTAACCTTCTTTATACTAACCTTATTATTATTAATTATTTGCTTAATATAATTTTATAATATTACATCCAACCTAATTAATTTCAACATTACTATTGACAATTAAATAATCTCGTTTTTAATCTTAATCGAGATTCAATCCCCAATCAATTTCTTGGCCATGAACTAAAAGAATTAAAAAAACTATAACTAAAGTCTTCATTTATAATAATTTAATTAACACGTTTATTATATATAATAAATAATCATATTTGTATATAGTATTTATTAAGACAAAATCTGCATTGGCTTACATTATTTACTGCAATTTAAATTTATTCAAACCATTTAAATATTTGAGTAGTAGTTAAAATACATATTATAAATTACAAATTATTAAAATAACTAATAAACCTCATTTAAATTCATCTATAACATTCCTAATCATCAAAGAAATAAGCATGAATACAAAAGATCCAGTAATTAAAAAAAGGATATTTTTTTGTATTGAGATTGATATTTGCCTTTATTATTATTCAAGAAGTATTCATATATTTTTATTAGATTAAATAAAATTAAAAATATCACTCTAATTTTGTTATGTTATATTATTCACTTTGATAATTAAAATGTGATTAACTAAATATCTATCTGTTTCATTCTAGTTAATCATAAATAAATAAGTTTAATTTTCTATTGAATCAACAAATATTTTATATATATTGCTCTTTAAGTTTATAATATCTTTACTACATCATGATTATTTAAATAAATAATTTAAATAATTAATCTTTATTATAAAACAATCAAGTAATCTCAAAATAATAAATTATTTGTGAACTTTTGATAAAATTATTAGGGATTTAAAAAAACTAATATTTGAAATGATCTTATTAATATTGAGATGGATTTCAATTTCAGAATATATTATCCAATAGAGTATCGGAAATTCTTAAATTTGTGATTATTTAATCTAATTAAAATTCATTTATTAAAAGGAATAAAACAGATTCTATAAATTATAATATTATAATTTCTGAGAGTATATTGTTTTGATTGTCTTTAATAAAAATAATTATATAAATTTAAGAATTTTTAAGTTAACTTGAATTCCAATTCTTATAGATCAAAATTTTGATAATATATTAATATTCTTGATTAGAATATTAATTTAAAAAATAGGAGATAATTTATTTTAGTAAATATTACAAATATAAATTATGAAGTTCAACAAAATATCCTGCTAAATTCATTAAAATTAAGCAAGTTATTTTTGCTAACATTGTATCTATAAAAGATTCCTTTTTGTATATTGATCTCCATTCGATTGTCAACATAAAGTAATAATACTTGAAACTCTTCGAAAGTAAGCTTCTTATCACCATCCATATCTAAATTAGTAAATAATTGCTCCAAAGGAGTACCTCTTTTTTTCTACAATTATCTTATCTAGTTAATTGATTCCTTTAATTAATTTATTAAAATACTTAGAGATGTTCAATTTTGGTGTAATTCTTTTAAATAACATATTTAGTTTTAAATATTTTATGTTCGATTAAATCATCCCAATTATAACGATCTTTTTCTTCATATTATAAGCAATTTTTAATGAATTCTTTGAAGTCATCTGAGATTGAGATATGTGAAGGAAAATATAATTTTTGAGATTTTATTGATTTTAAAAGTTATGTTGGATCGTCTGCTATCCAAGGGTATTCTCCAAATATCATTTAATATGCCATGACTCCTATTGACCAAATGTCACTTTTAACTGAATAGTGTTTATTTTCAAGTATTTATGGAGCCATATACAATGGAGTTCCCACATTTTCTCTGAAGAGTTGATTGCCAGAATAATCTGCTTTAACTGAGAATCCGAAATCTGCTAATTTCAAAGTCCTTTTGTGAATCAAGATATTCTCTGGCTTAATGTCTCTGTGTAAATACTCCTTTTTGATTAATTCGTTTAGAGCAGTCAACAATTACTATAATACTATTTTAGAGACATTCTCATTAAGAAGTCCTCCAGATTGATAGATGAAGTTTGTGAGATTTTAACTATCACAATATTCCATTATGAGATATTCTCTATTTAAACAGGGATCATGAATCATGTCAATTATTTTAACAATATTTTCATGTTCTAAATCTCTCAGTATTCGAACCTCTCTTTAAAATCCAGAGATATAATATTTATCCTTAACTTTACTCCAATCAATAACTAAGATGATGTTAAGTTCATACCTTTTACAGCAACAAATTCATTAGTTTTATCGAATAAACCTTTATAAACCTTAGAATAAGCACCTTCTCCTATGAGATCTTCTTCTGAGTAGCTATACTTGTTTTGTATTTTTATCATTAAATCCAAAACGAACAATTACGTAGCATATCAATTAATAATCAATCATACCCCCCATATTGTCAGTTTATTGGCAATTAGAAATTGAGTGTCAGAAAACATCAATAGTCTATAAAAAGAATTCAAATCTTGCTTATAAGCTAGAGTTATTAAAAAACACGTTATAAAATGATGATTAATTGAGACTTAAACTCTGATTGAAATTTATAATATTTAATTTAATCAAAACATTCTCTTTAGCTGAAAATAAGCATAAGTCGTTTTATATCTATTTATTATATTAAACAATGTTTTTAATACTTTAAATGTTAAATTGAGATGATTTCTTTCTGATTTATAATTATCAATTGATTTTTTTGATTTTATATATTTATAGAAACTAAATAGCTTTTTATAATGTTAAGTGTTATTAAATATGTATTTATATATATATATATAATATTGATCAAATCAAAAGTAAACTTAGGCTTTTTGATTTTTCTTTAAAAAGTTATTCATACATTGACTTAAAATACTATTTTGCTATTTAGATTTGAGTTCATTTGGCTATACAATTTTATTAGAAGCAAATTTTGATTATAACTTTTTATGAATTGATTGATTTTCCTTATTTGATAGGATTTCCATTTGCATTCTTTAAATTTTAATCAATCTTCTTTTTTCATAGTCAAGCAATCTATCTTCAACATTATTAGAAGTTGCTACTGAAGATTAAGTCTTTTGTTATTATTTTTTTGTTGTTGTTGATAATGTAGACATGTTTCTTTTTTTAGGTAAGTAATCATCATAAGTGAAAGAAGTTCCTCCTTTGATTCCTTCATATGGTTAAGTCGAATCGTAGAGCATATTCGTTAATAAATTTATTAATATAAATCATAATTCCAATACAATATTAATGAGTCTTTTTCTTATTTTAAGTATTATTCTAAATCATTGAATAAATGGATATACTATAATTAAGAATGTATTTTTAAATAGCATATATTTATTTTTGAATGAAAAAAGAGACAAATATTTAATGTTTATAGAATTTTGGTGAATATACATTATTATCATATGATTTATAAATATTAATAACTTTTAATATTGAATATTTAAGTTTTGATACTTTAAATGTAAGTTCTTTTTTTGTAAAAAAGTGTAGAGATAGTTAAAATTATAATAAGAATTTAATATATATTTATATAAAATGGGAAATTGTAATATCAATGAAAAGAAAGAGGATCTAATGGAGAACAATGGTATTTAGAATAAATAAGTAGTGATGTCTGTTTAAAATTTTCAATTTATTGATGCTATTGGAAGAGGTGGTTTTGGTAAAGTATGGAAAGTTCGACAAAAGAAGAATAAATAATTTTATGCCCTTAAAGTGATGTCTAAACCTAAGTAATCTATAGTGAATTATATAGGATAATAAGCAAAAAATCTGTTTAATCAGTAATGAATGAAAAAGCATTGCTCTGTGGTCTAAAACATAAGTAAATATTGAAATTAAAAAAAGCTTCTTGATTAACATGCAATATTCTTTTTAAGATAGAGAATATTTATATTTAGTTATGGATTTACTTTCAGGAGGAGATTTGAGATATCATATAGGAAGACATAGAAAGTTTAATGAAGAACAAACAAGTATTCTCATTAATTCTAAATAATATAGAGTTTTTCAGTGCATGTATAATAGTAGCATTAGAATATTTACATCAATAAGGGATATTACATAGAGATTTAAAGCCAGAAAATTTAGTATTTGATAGTAATGGTATTTAAATGTCATTCTTAAGTTAGGATACTTGAGATTAACAGATCTTGGTATTGCTAGAATTTGGAAACCTGAAAATTCTCAAGACACTAGTGGAACTCCAGGATATATGGCTCCAGAAGTAATGTGCAGTATCATATTCATAATTTCTTATTTTATAGGACATAATCATGGAGTAGCAGTTGATTATTTTGCATTGGGAGTCATAGTATACGAATGCATGTTGGGAAGAAGACCATATTTAGGAAGAAGTCGTTAGGAAATAAGAGAGTAAATGTTAGCAAAATAGGCTGCTATAAAGAGATAAGAAGTACCTCCTGGATGGAGTTTAGAGGCTGCAGATTTTACTAACAAAGTAAGTCATTAATGATAAATTGGTAGTTACTTTAAAGAAAACCTTAAAATAGATTGGGAAACAATGGACCAGATGAAGTGAAAGAACATCCTTGGTTTAAAGACTTCAGTTGGGAGAAGTTAATAAGTAAAGAGATGATTGCACCATTCATACCTAATGTAAGTATAATTAAAGGATGATTATTAGGGTAATGAAGACAATTACCTTCCATCAGATAGTAGAAGAGACTCAGACGATACAATGAATGAGGATCAATAAATTATGTTAAGAAGGAATTCTATTTAAAGTATTAAGAGTGTTAATTGTTAGATTTATTTAATGGTTACGATTTTGATAATAATGCCAGTGTTCCAAGCAGTTAGATCGCTATTTCGAGTACTTCTTCATCTCGAGTCACAAAATAACCAACGACTACTAACACCCCAAAATCAGCAAAGTTGGTGGTATAAAAGCTGAAAAATTGATAATCATTTTTACCTTATAAATATTATATATCAAAAATTAATTATTACTAAATAGATTCAACAAATTATTATTTTTGTTATACAATATATTTTACTATATTAATAAATCAATAGAAGAATAGATAGATTTATGATAATACATAGAATATTATTAAAAAAAAGTGTGAAATTCATTCATTTTATAATTTATAAGATTAAAATATGAAGAGTAATGAATGACAATAACAAAAGTGAAAAAATATCTTATTTAACATATAATTGCTTAAAAAGTCTTTGATTATAATTTATTAATAAAAAGGTAATAAAAATTTCAAAATTATTTATATATATGGTATCGTGTGCACAATATTGCATGTTTATTTCAGCTCCTGGTTGTGTATTTATGACATATTTGGGATTGATGATAGCAATAGGATCTGAAACCGTTTATGTTGTACCTCATAGTAGAGTTGAGGGATCTTTTGCATTGTTTATAACAGCAGTGGTATATATATATATATATGATTCATAACAAAAGTTATATGCGATATTCTTTGCTATCAGTTATAATAATGAATACTCTCAAATATAAAGATAATAGAATGTAGATGAATGGATTAATTCATAAGAAATTAGAGAAGCTGAAGTAGAGATGTCAAATCTTCCTAAAGAAAAGCAACCAGAATAATAATTAGTAGATTAATAATGATATATTAATTTTATCAAAAACCCAAAAATATTATCACTATGATTTAGATTCATCTTCTGATGAATTGTTTTGGCTATTTTCTCCCAATATATTCATAAAATCATTAGCTCTATCATCTCTTTCACAAATTACTCTTGTGTAATCTTATCCAATAAGTGTACTTGAAAGATGAGCATTCAAATTATTTGTTACACTTCCTTAAGCATCTAAACCATCCATCATTCTAGTTAATTCATTCATCATATATTCTATTTTATTTAACATATCTTCTTATTCTACTTCATGTGGTGGTGGATGCTAATTGTTATTATCTGATAAATTTAAGAAATTCATAGTCTATTATTATTACTATTGTTATTATTATTATTACTATTAAGGTTATTATTGTTTAGTTTATAATTGAAATCTAAGATATTACACTTCTTATTTAAGTAATTAAATAATTTATTATTATTTTTTCACTTTTATTTGTAATCTAGTACAATCTAAACATCCAGAATCATTATTCTTATAACCAGATTTAAATTTTAATTGATCTTGTCTTCCAGATATAGACATTTATTTAGTTTGATTATTTGGTTCAAAAACTCCAAATGACATAACTGGACTTTCTTGATCAGATATTACAGATAAAAGGTTTTATGGAATGGCAGAAACATTAACTAAAATATTTTCATTTTCCTCTTCTATTCTTTATTCTTGTAAATAATTCTTAGTATTTTTATTTCTCATAAGTTTTCTTAGAATTTCCTTCTAGAATTATTAAGTAGTTCCTAAATTTCTTCGAGTATCTAAACTAATAATGGTAGTATTTTTATCTAGTAATTGTATTAAGAGTTCAAATCCCTCTTTTTAAATAGCATTATATTTTAAATTTATAGATTTTATCCATCTATCTCTTTCTAAATAAGGTACAATATCTTTAACAAATTAATCATTTAATTTATTGTATGATAAATCTAATTCACCTATTCCAATTTTAGATATGTCTTCTTCTGGACTTTCACCTTTTGTTCTATACAAATAATCGACACTATCTCTTCTTTTACTATGTTCTTATAATAATTATCCTAGCATAACTCCAATTTGATGTGTAAGATAATTATGAGAAAAATCTACAATATGAAGAGAAGAATTCTAAATTAGAGATGGCTAAAGAATGCTGAAATGATTAGAGGTCATCAAACATTATATAATCCTTAATTCCTTTAAAGATTAAACTACTGCTATGCCTTACGAAATTATTTGCATATGTTCACTACTCATTCTTATATCTCGAATTACAAATGTTATCACATCTAAACTCTTAGTAAATAACTTGGTGATTACTCTCAAGATCTCTAGTAATTCATTTTTATAATTATCATGTGCCATAGATTTATTTAATTTTAAGTTCTTCTACATACTTTTAAGTATGATTGTTTTGAATTTACATTAAGTTAACAATAATTAGAGAGGTTCAATATCTATTAATTTTTCATTTTCTTACCTTATAACCCAATTTATTCTAAAATTAAAACTATTTCTGTCTCTTAAATCCCATTTAGTAATCCAGATGAACAAGGTACATTCAAATGTTTACAAATTTGTTTGTATAGATAAGTGTGAGATTTCTATCGTTGTTTCATATATTTTAGAAACTAATTAATAAACTTATTAATAATTGTTCTTTATCTATTAGAATATTTTTATGAGATAATCAAACAATAAAATAAATGAGTATAATAAACACAC